TATTGTTTGTTTTCCATAGCTTGGTTGATTATATTAGCTATTCGGTGGCATTGTTGTACTGTGGAGTGTGCCTGTCGAAAGCCAAATTGGTGGTTAGGGATCCAGTCATTTGGATTGGCGTCGTGATTAATTCTATTCAGGATAAGCTTTTCAATTAGAGAAATTAAGTCTACAATCTTTACATAAACGGAGACATCACCTTGATGCACTTTTTCTTGTTCAGTATTTAGTGGTCTTAAATCCTGCTCTTCTCTTTTGGAAAATGTTAGCCTTCGCGTTCCTCCCAGCAATCTTAGGGACTTCTCATTGTTTGGTGTTTGTCCCTCTAATAAACACTGTCCTGCTCGGTGCGCCTATGCTGCCAACGCGGTGGGTAAAGATCTCGACATATTTGCAATCGGAACAGTTTCTGTCAATCATATTTCTCATGTAAGTGAACAAAAATTTGGAATCAATTAATNTTGAAGATCATATTCTCACATTGTGGCTTTGTCTGTGTATGTTTGCTTCTGTATCTTATTCCTGCTAACTGTGTAATTAATATAGACTATCATTTTTGTATTTTGTTTTCTAATTATTTTTGTGTATTTCTCTATTCGTGCTAGCTTTGTAATTGACCTCTGTGCTGTTAAGTTTGCACGTAAATAAACATGAATTGAATTGAATTGAATTATTGTTATTGTATGCTGCTCTATTTGAAGATCATATTCTCACATTGTGGCTTTGTCTGTGTATGTTTGCTTCTGTATCTTATTCCTGCTAACTGTGTAATTAATATAGACTATCATTTTTGTATTTTGTTTTCTAATTATTTTTGTGTATTTCTCTATTCGTGCTAGCTTTGTAATTGACCTCTGTGCTGTTAAGTTTTCATTAAATAAACACGAATTGAATTGAATTATTATTGTTATTATTTCTAAATATTAATACTTTATATTTCTCAATTTTCAATAGCAATATTTGTGTCAATGAAATTATTATTATTATTATTATTTCTTTTTTTTTTTGCCCTCTTCTCTGCATTAATGTGTTTTTCTCCAGTGCTTACCTTTAATTAGTCTTTGATTTTATGTTGTGTTTGTCCATAATATATTTACTTGTATCTACGCTGTACCGTGTCTGTAATCGGCCTTGTGGCTGTTAGCTTGGCACATAAATAATAAAGAATTTAATTGAATTGGATTATTTCGTAACAGGAACTCGGTAGAGAAGGCACTGCATGAGAGAAGCAGGAAAGAGGGAGGCCTAAAATATATACAAAGCAAATAAACTAAGTTACTTTTTCATTGCGCGTATTCTTAACTTTTTAAACTCAATGCAAATTGTAGGCCTGACAACCGTTCTATCGGATTGGACTTTCTGCTTCTCTTTACTTCTGTCACAGCTAATTGAGGTGTATCATATGGCGATTACAGGCAGACGTAAGGATGCAAGACTGTCGCACTGAAACTATATCAAGAATGACGAGCGTTATAGTAGCTCTAGGGTAAGTGGCAGCACACAGATTGTGCTAATCGATTTGTTCTGCGGCCGCCATTATGTCACGGCAGTATTGATCTACCTGTCACTTGCACGCCTCCTTTGACCAATCATATCTCATACCGTCACTTCATTGGTCGATTCTCCTGCCCTCCCACTGTAACCGCCAGCCAATAGTGTGAGGTCCAGAAGAACAAGGACCGCAAGGAATATCTGTAGACTGTCCAGCTCTTTGAGTAATGGGATACAGGGAATTGGACTATATTCTGGTCCATTTCAACCGAAGTCAGTTATTACAGTGAACATTTTTAATTACAATACAGCTCCCTCACAGATATAAACATCCCTTAGTGGCACCAAGGTTTCTTTTTATGCAATTTTCTGTATAGAGGTTATCTGAGTTTCCTGCCATTTATGGAACCCTCAGGCTCTTTATCCAATTCACAAAAGTTCACTTGAATATTTTGCACACCTTCACACCCTGTTTCTTTAAGTTCCGTTTTAATATTATTCCTCCGCCACATCTACGCCCAGGTATCTTCCTTTCAGTACTTACGTTTGAGACTTCGTAAGTATTTCTCATTTTCCCATTACTGTTATCTTGTGCTTTCCTAATAATTTTCCTTCATATGAGCACAATATTCATAGGGCCTATTTAGTGAGGAGTACAGAATGCGAGACACAGAAATAAGGTTATGAGTCGCCTGGGACTCAGAACAAAGAACGACGCTGCTGGCGAGGACCAGCCGGCCAACCGGCCGACTGAAGCTCCTTGCTGTGTATAGCTAGTTGTCTCCGTCTTTCTGTTACTTCCTATTGTATTTGTTTCGAACAGGGCTATTCTTCGCGTTAATTTTTTTTTGGGGGGGGGAGGGGAAGGAAATGAAAATTGTAACTAAGACTGAACCAAATATTACGCATAATACACAAAATGAACAATTTCTTTTATAATTATTCTTCTCCCCTGATTAGGCTTAGGAAGATTCATGCATGAAAGTATTCTTAAATTGTTTAAACATAAGTTTGGAAGCAAATCTGTGGGAGGGGGAATCCTGGCTCTTCTTATGCCTTCGAAATATTTTTTTATGCTGACGATAGACCACCAAACTTCACAACCATAAAGGCCTAGGGCTAAAATAACATGTGATAACCTAGACCTAAAGTTGTAATATTTGAGGTTTTCACGGCGGTGACTATGAAGAATGGCGTCTTCTGGAATGTGGCGCCGTGTTGATATTGTGTTAACCGACGTTTCGGAAAAACATATCATCAAGGTCGAAGCCGAAGGCTGCATTTGCCACGTGATTTCCGACTGGTATCTTGCTCGACTTATTATTCGATCCTGAATATGGAGGCGACATGCTCCACAGAAAAGTTGGTTAGGCTTTCAACAGACTACACGTCGTTATATCCCAGAAGAGAGATATAAGTGTTAATAAAAACGTAACACGACACTTCGAGGCGTAGGCCTAAGTCGTGTACTCCTGTAACCTATCATGTGGTCCAGCTTTTCCTCAGCGGTTCTATGGCTCTATCAAATTCAGTACTGATCAGATTTGTAATTATTTATTTCCGTATGATTCTTCTGCTCTCTGCCTCACAAACTGAAACTTCAGCTCTGAGCCTTATGTTCCAGGGTTCGACATGGTCTGACGTTCGCTGGGATTGGTTCCACTCGTTCTGAGACTGAGCTGGGGGTTCCGAAAAGCCTCCTCCCCATCCTTCTGACGCGGGCTATATATGAGAGGGCGCGTCCCCCGGGAGCGTCAGTGCCGTCGATGTGAGCGCTTGGTTAGCATGTCTTCTGCCGGGGAGAGCAACGTGTACGGTGCATATGACGACCTGACCCGCAACTCGCGTGTTACGACCTCGAGGGCCGACAGTTCCTCGTCCGCATCGCCACCGTCCTGCAGCCTACACCATCATCACCATCACCTGGGGGGCTTCCTGGGGGCGTCCACGACTGCAGAACTCAGTGATGACGAGCTGGGAGACTTGCCCTCCTGTGCGTATGCTGGCCGCAATACAGGCAGCGGCGTGCAGCAACTGCAATATCTGGGCGTGTCAGGTCAGTACATATAAGTAGGCCGAAATGCAGCCTCGTCCGGCTGCATATCGGGAGATCCTGGCTGAGGTTGTTCGTGGTTTTCCTCTGCTCCTCCACGCACATCCTATCATACTACTTCAAATTAAGCCACGAGTAGTTCCTCCCAAATTCCTTTCAATTAATAATTCATCAAGCAATATACCATTAAATTCCGTAGAGCTGTAGGCCTTGGTAGGTGATGGTGACTGTGGAACAGCTGGTGTCACTGTGCCCACCACAAATCCCACATGACCTGACCTGGGCTCGATCCCGGGCCGCCGCGGTGGGAAACCAGCGACTAAACACCTGAGCTATGCCGCGGCCTTAGTGTACTGTTACAAATAGGCCTCTAATGAAATTCGTCCCTACAGCTTTATTTTCTTCACACAGTGGCAGAAATAAGTGAACTTCCGGAGGATTTTGTTCGCTTCCTTTTGCGTTACGGTTCACGGTTATGAAGGTTCCTTAACGTCATGTGCAGGGATTGCAAGTTGCCGACGAAACTCGTGAAAGGCTATCAAATGCTTCTATTTAGCCTGTAGGGTACTTTAGTAAATACGTGAAAGAAGTGCGTGCAGCCTACTGCTCCAGGCGAAGGAAGGATAGCTTGTTCCCCTTCGAGTGTAATTGTACTCGTACAGGGGTCTACCTAAGTTTACGTTCAGAAATAATTTTTTTTCTGGATTCCATTGCAGCATCGTGGCATGATATTAAGTAATTTAGTTCCCGCCGCTTCAATTTGGTTTCTTTAAGTCTTTCCTTTAGTAAAACAAATGTTAAGCAGATTTCTACAACAACACTCGTAAGATTTTTCTACATTTGTCACGATTCCTTGCAGGCATTTATTTCAAGTGATAAGTTTAGGATTTGTGCAACTGTAACTTTCCTTCCAGTAAATAACAATAATTATAAAAAGAGAAAACAGTTTCGTCCAGTGTGACTGGTGAAGATTTTTCTTATTTCAATTCTTCATGCCCTTACATGTTTCGGTCCTTAGAGACCATCATCAGAGGGACATCAATACAGTTTCGAAGCTACTGTTACAGCAAATGTCCTGAGTGTTAAAATATACATACAATGTTGATAATATACAAATGGATACAGAATCCAAAGTTTTTACAACAACAATTGTTATGCGGAACGTATCAGCGACATTCTCAGACCTTTATTTTGAAATTTCCGCGTACACCTGGACCTCAGTAGGAACTGTGGTTTCTATAGGCCCTCATTTTAACTCAGTTCTTTTATTTCGACTCCTAAAACATAACTTACTGGAGGTTTTAATTCCAAATACATATATCTGGGATAGTCCACTAAACGAAGTATTCTAGAGCGAAAGACAAAAATATTGAAGAACTGAATGCGTGCCATATATAGTGCATATAACTGATTGTACTAGTGAACTGTGGAATACAAATATGAATATAGGGCTATAGTTACTTATTTCGTCGCTTTAAATTTCAAATGAAGCTATTTAACAAATGATTATCTTTAAACATCTGTTAGTTGAAGCAAGATGTAATGGAGCTACATAAATAAAAACCAGAACTGGCGAATAATGGAACTAAAATATTAGGATAAATAATTGGATCACTAAAAAATAAATAGGCTTACTTACGCAGTGAACCAGGCTTAAAAATGCGAACAAGGATGACCAGGCCCGTTCTCTCCTATGCAGCTGTAATAAGAATAAGGAAGGAAATTGTAAAATAGAGAGTGACCGTATTCGATGCCACTCGCCAAACTTTCAAGCCTCAAGGCGACATCCAAGAAATGGGGGAATGGACGAAGAAACGAAGGGCAAGGTGGAAGATTTGTGTACCACGAATGGACGCAGGTCGGAGTGTACGAGCAGCAAGGTTAACTCTTCTGAAGGGAGTAGAGTTCATGGAAGAGAGCTCAGAAGATGGTGTGGTTCACGGTCTGGAGAAAAGAGTTCCGAGGTCTAAGAAGTTAAGAGGAGGATCAGGAAGAAGCAAAAGAAGGCGTTTCATACAGTGAGAAGGGATCTTTCAAAATACCGCTTCCAAGTCGAACCCAGCTTCGTCCCTTCCAGTACTTTCAAACAAACCCGTCATCTGATAGCGCAGTCGGTATAGCCACAGCCTACGGGTTGGACGACCGAGAGGGTCCGAGTACGAGTCCCGGTAGAGTCAAGAATTTTCGCTTCTCCACATCGTCCAGACAGGTTCTGGGGCCCACCCAGCGTCCTGTCCTGGGTACCGAGGGCTCTTTCCCCGGAGTTAAAGCGGCAGGGTCATGAAGCTGACCACTCACTTCCATTTACTGCCGAGGTCAAGAAAATGTGGAGCTAGATATCCACTCCCCCTACGCCTTCATTTCATAATACTTAATTACTTAAGCACAGAGACAACTTTACCTCTACCGCCTTCTATTCAAGTTCGGTCATACCTTTATTGGAGCCGGGATAGCCCTCACAGGATCATCTTGTTCTCCGGCAAACGAACTAGCCGATCACTTACTTGAACCCCTAGTGACGTGTAAAATTTAAGAACGACGCCCCGCGACGTCACACACACAAAGGACGCAACACCGCTGGCACCAAGCAGTCTATATAGACTGTAGCCAATGGGTGTAAGGCTTAGAAAATGTGTAACAAGTATCAAGTTTCCTCTAAATGGTTAAATCACGAAATGTAACGACAAGGCTCTTACGCAAGTAAACACTCATCAGGAATGTCATAGACGCGAGATGTAAAACTAAGCAAAAGAGAGAACCAAGGTGGGGCTTAGACAAAGGGGCGATATTATATTTCATGTACCCCTATGAGCATTGCGGGGTAGTCGCAAATAGAACCAGGCTTGACAGCAAGAACGTCTCATGTGACACATCTCCCATCCTCACCTGACAGTTGTCATTTCGAAGCGGGGAGGACATGAAAACTGATTAGCAGTACGCCTGTTCGCAAACAGAGAAAGGTTGGAGATGTGTGTATATTGTTTTCTCCGGATGTCCCTATCTTCGCATATATTCTTTTTTATTTAAACCCTATCCCAACGGCCCATTTACGCCATTAAACTTTGTACTATAGTAGGCCAGGAGCCGGGATAATTTAATCAGAATAGGGACTGGCTAGAGGACGGATGGGTTAGAGTCCCGGTAAGGTCAAGAATTTTCTCTTCTCCACGTCGTCCAGACTGACTCTTGGGTCCACCCACTGGGCTCTCCCTCCAAGGGTAAAGCGGCGGGGCATGAAGCTGACCACTCCCAACTAGTGCCGAAGCCAAGAAAAAGGGGATCTATACATGCACTCCCCCAAACACCTTCATAGCGTAGTGCTTAATTAGCTACGTAAAGGGGCAACTTTACTTTTTACCTATAGAATGTGTAATGTATAACACGGGTTAACAACGTACGGCACATGGATGGTGGTGTTACCCACGCCACTAACTAACAAAATACGCTCCACTGCACTTATACTCTAGGCCCTCTACACCTGCAGGCCTACATAAACGGGTACTTACTGCAAAGTAATATAATCTGTTCGAAGGTAGCAAATAACCCAGACAAATCTGCGTTAGCTCTTTCAGTGTACAGACTCTTTAAATAGTTTATATAAAAGAAAACTCAACTGCGTGATTTTAAAAATAAGAATCCAGTTTAATTTTCTGAAGGTTTCCAATAATTAAGAGCCTAAGTAAGTTAAAGGTAAAGTTGTCTCTGTGCTTAATCAATTGAGCACCAAGCCATTAAAACCTATGGGAGAGTGGAGGTATAGCTCCATCATATTTAACCTCCGCACTAGATGGAGGTGTTGTAACCGCACCATCGAAATCCTCCCCCCCCCTTTTTCTTTATTGGGAGCTAATAGAGTTTAATAAGAAGTTACGAAGAAACAGGGGTTTAAGACACACTGTAAGAACAAGGAATAGGCGATGAGCAGATAGACCAAACTTGCGCGGACATGTACATCGCTAGTTCTTACGTCCAAGCATCTGGTGTTATTTTCCACAAGGGCAGAAAGTCATACTTCAAGAAACCCCACTAAAATTCTTTAGAAATGTAGAACTAGCCTTACAGCGGCAAGACACTTCGAGAATTCGAGACGTGACAGTTTCTACCAGTCGTAAGTTAGAAGTGGGAGTGCCAGGAGATCATTAGAGACCCCTCGTAAGTTGCATCACTGTCAATTCCGCCGTTTGGTCTTTTAAGACGAAATTCCCTTAAAAATAATCTGTCATTGGCGGAACCAAAATTAAGCCAACTCCCATAATTTGAATCACCCTCTCAGGGAAATTAGGAGGAGATGAGAATGGGCAGATACAAATCAGTTAGGACCTCTGGCTCGGCAGAGAGTTCAGTCTAAGGGTGCGTGCACACCGAGCGCGCTTCGCGNGAGTCATCTATCAACTTTTGGACTTGGCGGAGGCAAACTTCGCATCACTCGCGCAAAAAGATAATTCTAAGAAGTCCAAAATTTTTGCTCTCACTTATAGTGAGATTTCGCTTAATCAACAAGAGCGCGGCACCCAAAAATTTGGCGAGCTGAATCAGTACATTTTAATGGAGGTGTAAGACCCACGGCTAGTCAGCCGAAACTAAATCAGGTTGTAAGAATTTACGCAGCAAAGTGTCGTTAGGAAGTAAGCTATACTTCGCAGCTCAACCATACTCGCTAAGTGTGTAGTCTGTCACGTGACCAATAGCTATTTCACAGAGTGACTAAGTCCAGAGTATCAAGTCTCATGGCAGTGACGAAAGTTGTCTCATGTTAATCGCCGGAACACAATAAAGCGTTGTGGTGTAAAGTGCATTGTGTTGATCAGAGGTGTTTTGCCCTCACTTGTCCGAGCCTGACCCGTATTCGACCTGAAAAGAGACACATCTCCACTAGCTAGTCAAACCCACCGTCAGCTTCCACATGCTCACCCCTTCACCACTTACTATCGAATGGTAAACAGCCTCTAGCTGTTTGCTGGCGCCCATATTATCGGATCCAATCCTGAAATCCAGCCACTAATAATCTCAACTGAAGAAGGAAGCGGTGGAGCTGGGTCAAGCCGAAACCAGCTATGACCTAGCAACTTTAGCAGCGGCAACACCAGGTAGGGCAGAGTCAAAGTGGTCATCGGAGCAGATGGGCCGATCGCCATCGACTACCCCTCCCTACACTACTATTCAGACGGAGCCTCATGCGAAAGAAAGTAGGAGGGACGGTTACAGTGTGTACGGCCAGAAATGGAAAGCGTTATACAAGGTGTCCGGCTGAAAGGTATCCTGGCATGCTGCCTGCTTGTAGAATCTGGAATATGCCACAGTTCCCCCCCACCCCTGTTTCACTTCTGGTGCGTTCTCCTCCTTCTCACCCCTACTTGGTCTAAACTGAACTCCGAAAGTTTCTGTGCAGCTGAATTCCGAAGTGAGCGCACCCATATCTGATTGCGGTGGTGCTTTTTGTTGCAGATGAGCAGGCCAGCGATCTGGGTGGGAGTGCGGCCGATGGAACAGAGTACTACCCAAGCGGCAGTCCGTACCGTATCCAGCGACACGCTGCGAACATCCGGGAGCGCAAGAGGATGCTGAGGTCCGCACCTGCCCCCCGCCCCCCGGCCCCCCACACACACGAGCGACCGCCAGTCAAAATGTGAGGCTCCGGGGGGAGGGGTACCCGCTTACCGAATTTACTCGCATGATTTTCTCTCTCATACTTTTGGGAAAGAATAAGAAATTTATTTAACGCAAAATTTCCCCATTGTTATTGTACAGCAAAGTTCAGAGTTGCAAATAGTTTGTGGTCTTCATTACAAACGCTCACAGTCCCTTGTTAAATGTCACATCCTCTGGACTGTAAAAGTGGACCGGAAAGGTTTCCACCGAGCTGACACGTTACCAAGGAGCCCGCGCATTTATGTGATAATTTGCTCAGTACAAGAATTCGCACTTGTCTGAGAAGTTAAACCATAATTCTTTCTCTGCGTGAAACGCCAGTTTATATGTCCGCTTTGTAGAGTTGATCGTTCTGTAAGGAGAGAGAAATTGCGCGAGTAAGTGCGGTGAGCTTTTAGACCCGCCGTGGCTTAGTACGGCCCATGTGTCTCGATGGTGGCGAGATTAATTGCCATGCACTTATACCTATATGACAACCAATCCGCGAAATAGCAAGACTGCATCACCGTCGACCCACTATCAGTATTATCAACAGATAAATCCATGGGGCAGAGTCCTCCTTGAGAACCTGTTGGCCGCTCAATTAGTCAAGAACTTTCTGGATTTTGTGAAACATGAAGGCTCATGACTGTGTTCATAAGAGCCTGCTGTCAGCCAATCAGACATTAATCTGAACCAAATGAAACCAGTCCACATTTTCACATGTTAATTCTTAAATAAATGTTAATATTATCATCTCTTCTAAGCCGAGGTACCCTAAAATGTCTCCTCTTTTCAGATTTTCTTCCGGCTAATATTTATATTAATTTCGCATTCTTTCCATGCGTGCTATATGTCCCGCCTGTCTCATCCAAAATAATTATAAGCTATTCGATGTAGATTATTTGCAGTGAAACTCGTGGCTCTCTAATTTTCTTCAGGTTATCTCCAGTTTGAGAACGTAAATATTAAAATATACGAAACAATTTCCCTCTTGCTCTTTCGCATTGCAGAAAGAATTTAAGCCTAGACTGAGGATTTTGGGAACAGGGTGTTAAGAAATTTATTTGCACGGAAAATAGAGGAGTTGACACGAGACCGGAGAAGTCTGTAGAAGCGTAATGTAAACTTAATAATTTATAGGATCCTCTTGATCAGAAATTATTATCTTAATGAGAGAATGAAGAAAAATGGGCCGAAGGGAGATGCAATACGAACGGTAGAGACGGAAAACGTGTACACAGAGCTTTGTTCAACAAATCTGAAGGGAAGCCATTGTGGAAAACTCCTCGGAAAACTAAAGCGTAGATGTGGATTGTAAAGGGTTCTGACGGTTGTGTATAACACTCGCGACTACTGGGTCTTTGGATAAAGTTCCGGAAACTGGGTCTGCGTTCGTCCTCAGAGGAGGAGAAGGGAAGACACTTACACTGCTGGGTCCGCTAAGAAGAGCTAACTTAGTCACTCCTTCACGAATGGGCTAGTGCCTTGAGGCTCAAAATCTTCTCTATAAGACGTTCTGATGGAAGTAGGCACATAAATGTAACCATACTTCAACTGCGGAAAGAAGTCCCATGGAGGGTGGGGATGAGGGCGCTCGAGGCTTCCCCTTCCCTGCACATTGTTGTAATTCCTTACAGCCCCCTTAACTTTAACCAATCCCGAGTGTTTCTGGCTAGTGAAATTGTCAGGTGGTTGTTTCTACTTCCTTTCTTACGAGCAGAAAAACTGCACTGATGTTGGGAGGGGAGTATATAAAAGGGTAAGCGTAACAGACGGAGGAAATATATGGTGATTCATGGGCCTTCTTCCTGTGACCATGTAAAGGGTAGGTCAAAATGAATTACACGTTTTGAGTGTCAAAATACCATATTGAAGATTGATGGAGAAGTTGTGAGCATCTAAGAGACAATAATTCGAAAAGGGACACGCACATATGTACCGTCAGAATTTTGGCGGGCGGGGCAGCCAATATTTAGCATACAAACCTTCGTTTACGCTGTTTAAGGCCATTTTTACTGTTCGCCCTAAAGTATTCAGGCACAAGAATATTTTTTAATTATTTTTAGTTCTTAATAATACTTGGTAACATATTTTTTCTTTTCTTCAATTTTAATTTTCTCCAGAAATCCAGGGGAAGGGTGAAGATGTCTAGTTCCCTCTCTGCCGGCGTCCATGGACCCACAAATATATATATACGGAGGAGTGTGATCATTTGCGCTCTTCGTTAGAGTGACTGTCGCCGTGCAATACATCAGACTGGCTTCGAACCGCGGAGGCCTAGGTCCAGTCAGGAGATCTGTAATGAACGGATTTCTCTTCGGTTTCTTCTTTGGTTTTCACCCGTGGAAACACACATGGGAACAAGAATCTTGTATCAAGTTAATTTTACTATTTAATATCCCACTTTTCCCGGAACTTTAGTTGATGCTTGTCAGTTGTGTGACCGTTCTTCGCTATCAAATTTGATTCACTTATTTGTTCACAGCACTTTCGGCCTCGTACGGCCATCATCAGATATGCTAATTACGGTATATATAACGTCAGTTGTTTCACTTTATTTTACTTATGCTGAGAGAAGGTTAATTAACCTTTTTTTTCTTCAAATTATTACTTGAATTAATTAAAAGACTGACGTTCACTCCATTTTACTCATGCTGAGATAAGGTTAATTAACCTTTTTCGAGTTATTACTTGAATTAATTAAAAGACTGACGTTAATATTTAAAATACAAGTATCATTTCTTGGAGGTTCTTGTATCAAGTTTTGAACGATAATGTAAACAGGACTTCGGTGATCTCTGTTTTGAGGATGTAAACTAAATTGCCTGGTGGGTTCCTGTGATGGACTTTACGGTTCCAGTTGCCTGAACATATTTCGATTGTTGTAACTTGGCTGTAACGTGTGGGGTGCGGGGTGGGTGGTTCTCGTTTCAGCAGCATCAACTCGGCCTTCGACGAGCTGCGGGTTCATGTACCCACGTTCCCCTACGAGAAGCGACTGTCCAAGATCGACACACTGCGCCTGGCCATCGCTTATATCGCGTTGTTGCGTGAGGTTCTCACGGCCGACTACGACCCTCTCACGTACGTGGAGAAGTGCCTGCGAGGAGAGATAAAGGCAGCCGAACGCGCCGAGTGGAACACGAGCGGTAAGTATCAACATGGAGGTCCAACCATATCCTTATCGGAGAAGCATAATTGGGCATTTGATAAAATAAGACGGGAATGATGAAAATTAAACAAAATAGAGCCTCACAATTTGTAGGCCTAATGTTCGTCTAAATTATTGGGGCTGTTAAATAAAAATGGGGTAGCATGAAGAAACAGGTATTGTCTATAGAAATTCGATCTTCTGATTTATATCAGCTGTTTTGAGTGGTTAAATTACATCAAATACATAATCTGATTCGTAATTTTAATATTTGGCCGCGCCATAGCTCAAGCGATTAGTCGCTGGCTTCCCACCGCGGCGGTCCCGGTTCGATCCCGGGGTCTGGTAGACAAAGTGGCGTTGGGGCGGGTTTTCTCCGAGTACTTCGGTTTCCCCTATCAATCTTCATTCCACAAAATTCTCCATCCTCATAATCACCCGGGGTAGGTACAATAGGCAAATCAGTGGCCCCCGTGCTTAGTGGATTCAGTTGGACTCCACCCCCCATTAAGCGTCACCCTCACCCCCCGTCACCGCGGGTAAGGGGCGGAGCGCTGACCGGCCCGTCACCGTAGCAGCGGCAACGCTGTTACGCCAATGCTGGCGCGGGAGGGGGCGTCCAACTTAGCGCAAATACGTCACACTGCTCCCTCCTTAAGGCTGTTCGCCCCGAATAGCCTAAGGGTACATCCCCGTTCCTTTTATTTGCAGGCTGTTCTTGCAACGTCTTCTTCTTTCTTGTCCGGCTACTCTTGCAGCTACTATCCTCCGTCCGTTGCCTCCGCTCCCCTCGTAAAACCAGCTCGTCTCGAACGGTTTCCTGTTAGCTTACTAGAAGATCCAGTTGTATCACATTCACTCCTTCACTTTCTCCCATCGCACATTCACTCTTGCTCGGGAGGCCGGTGCTTCTAATTTACCGGCTCCTCTTCTGTGCTCTGCTTCTCTTTCGTTTTGGAGGGGGTCGACCCCTCCACAAGGTCCAGTCCTTGATCATGTCTTTCTTCGGAAGTTCCTTATGTCGACGTAACAGCACTTGAAGTGTTGTTTACACTTACTAACGTCGTCGTTCCTCCTAGTCTTCCGCCACTTGCTGGTACGAGACAGCGGCCCAGCAGTGCCACTGCTGATTTCTCAACGCTGCTATGGGCACCCCGCAATGGTTGAGACTCGTCATAAGGCTGCGTGCAGAGACGGTGTAGACACATGTCGATGGCCAATTCCTTTCTCCGGCATTCGAAGGTTCCCTGAGTAGTTTCCTTCTTGAAGGCATCTCTCCAACGTCGTGCCACTGTTGCGCGACGGGATACCTTCCTGCAGGTGGCAGCCAACTTCATCCGGGATACGTAATCTTCTCGGGTCCAAGATTTCCTGACGATGTTCCTCCGACGCCATGCCACTGTTGCACGGCGGACACCTTCCTGCTGGTTTTCTTCTGCGGTGCCACTTCCACACGGCTGCTCGTCCCTCTGTGGGCTACGGCCTACTTCTTCTGGGGTCCACAATTTTTCCGTGTCGAATTCTTCATTTTTCGCTTCTTCGGTCCCTACGCCTTTTGTTCTTCGGTTCTCCGACCGGCATTACTTCGGCGTATTTTATGGGTACCTCTCGTTGTTCTACCGCCTCAGGTTTCATTTCCACTGAGGCCGGCTCTTCTTCTTCTGGACGTGCCTCCAATGCTAGGCAGGCCATCATCACTCCGACCGGTATCGCTATGGGGACCTCTTCTTGTTGTGCCGCCGCAGGTTTCGTCTTCACTGAGGCCGGCTCTTCTTCTGCTGGACGTGCCTCCGTCGCTTCTCGGCAGGCCATCGTCTCTTCCCCTATTTCGGGTTTGGTTTCGGCAACCATCTCCTTGTGGCTGGTGCCCGTATTTTCTGGCATAGCTCTCGTCCTTGCTTGGATAGCTTCAATTTTATGCTGGAATGTCACATCCAACTCTGACCGCATAGATCGCATTTCGGCCTTCATTCCTTCCTTGTCGGCCGCCGCCTTTTCTTGGTTGGCGTCTAATTTGGCCATTAATTCTTCTTTGTCTTTTTTTCTATTGGGCTCCATTTCGTCCCTCTCGGCCTTCCTATCGGCCTTCATCTCTTTCAGCGTTTCCTCTTTGTCAGTTTTCCTATCGGCCTCTTCTACGGGGACCTGTCTGTCAGCCTCCAGTCTGGACAGCAACGCTTTATGTCCGGCCTCCGTCTTAGCGCAGATATGTCACAATATATTAGGAAGGCAATATGCAAGAGCGACCGCCTCTGTAGTCTAGTGGTCAGAGTTCCTGGCTACTGACCAGAGGTATGCGTTTGATTCCCTGCTCTACCAGATTTTCTGAGAAATAGTGGGTCTGGAACGGAGTCCACTCAGCCTCGTGACGATAACTGAGGAGCTACTTGAATGGAAAAGTAACGGCTCCGATCTATAGAGCCTAAATTAACGGCCGTGGGGATTCGTTGAGCTGGCCACGCGACATCCTCTATCCGCTAAATTTGGCACTAATTTCGCCGACAAGTGGCGGTCGCTCGGCCGGTATATTTCGTTTGCCGCCTAAAATATTTTTTTAAATATGCAAGAGCACCCAGCTAGTTAGTCTACATTTCTGCTAGGGTGGGGGTACTGAGTTCGAATCTGGGCCGGTATACTACATCAATTATGCCACGACTCCTTGCATTCAAGTTCTTCCCAATTCGTTATTAACCAATAATTCTTCAGTTCGACGCCGTATAGTGCGAGATACTGGCAGCGTTGTAAAGTAAGAGAAATACATTATCCACACTGAAAACAAAAATGCCGGATGGTACTCCGTTCTTTTGAATAATACTGGCGTCTTATGGGAGGTCACGCATTAATTTGTAACGAGATTATTGTTGTAACTTCTTTTCTCCCTTGCCCGATTCTATAATCAGGATTTTCAAGCAATACAATAATACAGGCTGCTAAATATCAGTGAACAAATCATCGTCTGTCTGAAGGGAATCCATAACGTGATAAACGGATGATAAGGTTAATTTCTTTATGTTGGCAGATCTGACAGCACGGTTGTCGTGGATTAACTGGGAGAACCTGGGTGTGAATCCAAACAGAAGAAGCGTGCTGACAACTCTGACGCTGACAGCAGATAACATGAACAACTGACGACGAAGTGAGAACCATATCAACAACAAGCCACTGACTTTCACATGAACTAGTGGTCAATAAGAACAATACGACTTTAAGTCGCCTGCAATATTGTTTCCGTAACATTCTGCTGGAACGTTATGCAGCTTCCGAGAACGTTTCAATGTCAGATTCTATAAGATAAGATCATTCATTGTTGTGTTAAAATTTATTGTTGTGTTTTTGTTTATATTTATTTACTTTAATGACTTGTGTTACGTAATTTGTGGATTATTATTGCAGTACAATATTCTTACACTAATCCATAACTAGCGTGATTTTTCCAGTTCATTTTAATTCATCTTACTAGTAGTCTTCAGCTCTCCGACCTTTAAAAAAATGCCTTCAAATTTTTAAAATCTTTTATCAGCTGTTATTGTGTCTCTGCAGTCAAAACCTTTAAATCTATTTGTTTTACATTAATCATTTACACATATAAATGTTCACATCCTGTCGAACAAACGTGAATCTTATAGCTTAAATATAAAATGCACTATGTACGGGGACTCAACCGCAAAAAACTCGAAAACATATTCAAAATTTGATAATATTGCCCTCGTCTATGACATGTAGAACACAAATTATTGGGGCAAAGAACGTAACTATATGGCTAAGTGGCCGCGCTATAGTTCAAGCAGTCAGTCGCTGGCTTCCCACTGCGGCGGCGCAGGTTCGATCCCGAGTCTGGTCAAGTGGGATTTGTGGTGGACAAAGTGGCGCTGGGGCGGGTACTTCGGCTTCCTCTGCCAATTTTCATTCCACCAAATTCTCCATCATCATAATCACCCGGGGCAGGCTACAACAGGCCAATCCGTGGCCGCCGTGCCGAGTGGACCCAGTTGGGCTCCACCCGCCACTAAGCGAATTAAAAAGAGAAAGTAACTATATGGCCACCATGAACTTTGTTTTAATTGAGAACTACAACGAATTTGAGAAAGTGAAGGAATATCTAACATTTGCACCGTCTATGATTATCAGATTATCTATCGTTCTTCTTCGTGTCGAGTTCCCAGATACACAGTGTCCTTTGCTATCACATTTCGCTGCTTTGATGCTAAATTTACAGCCCTATTTGGGACTCTACTCCACTGATGAAAACTTGCCACGTGTCTTGCAAGTGGTAATGTTGTAAGCAATCTGTCACACCAAAATTTGTGTAGACTAGATGAAGAGCAATTGGCAGTATTCCATAAACTGCAACAGGCGATTATAGATGAATGTACATGTAGTAAAACGAGTTTCTCATTGCGAGTAATCGCTTGGAGATTGACTGAAACGTGCATTCTATATCTGAGCGCAAAAAGATGAGTTGTGCCTATTTATTGTTGTGTTGTTATTCTGTGATATATTGGAGTACATAAGCCAAAGAGTGGAATCCACAATGAAAATGCATATCATTCGGCAAATAAAATTTGAGAGCAGTGCTATTTTAGTTTATATTAAAAATACAGCATGATTTAAAGTAACATTCTAAGGCCCCTATAACATATGAAAGACGGAACATTGGCCTATTTTCAGTTTGACAGGAAGCATACCTGGCCAATCAGAATGTGAATTACATGTTAGTTGTGTTGTTTGTACTGTATTACTTGTTTTGTGTATTAAATGTAGATGCAACATAAGGTGTGTTGTTACACGAGTACATCATAAAGCGACATCCCCTCACACGAAGAGTGTCCATCTGTTTAGCATGTATGGCAGCAATACACTAGCACATGACTTATTTCAACCATTGAAAGCCCAGTGGTTCTATATGTACCATATGTTTTAACATACCAAACCTCTGTATTCTGCCCACAGAGTGTATGTTTCTGTTTCGTAAGGTTCTCACAACGAACAACGAACTTCTTCCGCAAACAGCGTTAACTGGTATATCTACGTAGCGGAGTTATAATGTGTTTCCTGTGAGGTATGAACTGAATTTATATATATTAGTTATAAGAAATTGAGTATTCAGTCTGAAGGCTCCCAGAGCCATTAGAATGTAAAATATTGTGGCTTTTATGTAGCTGTTGCTATGCAACGATCGCGAGAAGAGACATGCGTTGTCTATAACGGCCGGTAAACACGTCAGCCATACCAGGGCTCTCGCTTGGCAACTGCTCGGTAAGAGGGTTCCCGCGGCAACGTGTACGCATGCAACAGTCGAGATATTGTTGGACTATAGCAATGGAAATATCGTTTTGCATGTGGTTCGTGTGGAGGAGGGATCGAATACATACACCGTAGCCCTGCGAGTCGTAGGAGGCTACCCTGTTCCTGGGGGATATAAATGCTGGGCCTGGCCGTCCAGGTTTGGGGAGTCTTGAACGTGAGACAGTAACATGTGGTCATGGGGGAATGCGGTAGCGTAGTTGGTTGAGGCACTATGCTACAAGTAGGAAGGTCTCAGGTTTAAGTTCCGATGAGGTCATTGAATTTTTTCAATTAACCTAATCCTTCCAACCGCACTATGGTCCTGGGATCGACTCAGCCTCTTACAGAAATGGGTACCAGGAAAATTCTTGGGGGTCAAGGGCAGTCGGCATGTAGGGCTGACAACCTTGCCGCCGTCTATGAGCTGATGTCTAGAAAATGTGGGAACCTCAACATCTCACAACCCTATGAGCCTCCACGGCCTCTTACAGGGATACCTTTACTTTTACTTTTTACATGTGGTCATGAGTTCCGCGGGATTGTGATCTGAGAATTACTGCACTGGCGAGGACCAGCAGCAATTTTAAACGACAGACCAATCCTCTCGTTACAGAGGCCGTTAGTTAGGGACTATAGCCTCAAGTGATCAGTTGGAAAATAAAAATTTTGGTATCGAGTCTCAAGGGGCTTGTCGCCAAGATGAACTGATTGGCGGTAAAATGCCAGTCGTAAAGTAACTCTGACTCTGACTCTGACTCTGACTCCGGAGTTGGTGTTGTCAGCATTTCGGTTAAGTAAAGTGACGTCAAGTAGCTGTTTGGTAAGTGAGAGAATTCAGTTGCCATGTCAATTTGGAAGTCAGCCTGTTAAGAGAAAACTTGGAGGTTTGTGTGAAATGGCCACCAGACTGGGCCCCAGTTAGCTGAGATGTCAGTTAATAAGAGTTACGCACGGGCGGCTGTGACAAGAGGGCCTGAACGTGGGAAGATGAAAAATCTCCACTGTTTTAAATTTGTTGCCAGGAAACGGCTAGTGGAAATTGTAATAGGCTGAGGACACTAGTCTCTGTGTGCCAGTGATCTGTAAAGTGTAGTGCCGAGTGGTGTGTATAAGTGGTCAATAAATCCAATGTCAAATCCATACCCCGTCCATAGTCATACACCGCTTAAATGTGACAATATGATCAGGAGTTCGGTGAGAATCGGAACCAAGAATCGCTGTGCTGGCGAGGCCCAGCAGCAACTTAGATATCAGACAATGACAGTCAGACCCCTCCTGTCATCGAAGAGGAGATCCCATTTCCAGAAACGTAGAAGTCTAGAAAGAACAAAAATATGGTCATGGGTCCAACGGGACCAGAAACCAAGACTGAATGTGCTGGCGAGGACCAGCAGCAATTTACTGGTCTTGCTTCTCGGTCTTCAAAGGTTCAATGCTCATGTCTTCCAGGTGAATAATGATAGAGGATAACTTGCAGAAGGGAAGAATATGCTAGTATAATTTAAACTACGCTCAAAGAGTATAATGTGGACTGCTACTTTAAACGTTTGTCCAATCATAATTTTGATAATAGCTGAAAATAATCAGTAGGTTACAGAATATTGCTGACAGAATTCTTAATCATTAGTGATATGTATATTTTATTATATGTCTTATTTATGGAGTGTATTGCATTTAGCTAGTGAGCATGGAATTCTATGGCTGTCAACGTGAATACTTATGTACAGACTTACAAGAATTATGGCTGATTTTATTAAATCACTAGCTTCGAGGTATTCTGTTATGGCACAGTGTAGTCTGGTAGGTGGGTACCAGAATTTTGGATTAATTGCTACCTGTATTCTTTAACTTCTACCCAGAATATGGAAGCAGTCAGTATATTCCTCTGAAATGCTGGTAATCACCTACGAGAATACACATGGTCATAGGACGCAGGATCAAAATTTATACTTCGCTACTTGGTTACCGGAATGTAAACTTGGATGCAGGGACCTGCAAGACTCAGATATCGTAAGTTTTAGGAAATAAAGAAAATTTTGAGAATACAGTCGTGAAATTTTTGGCTTTTATGAATGAATTCAGTTTCTTTTTGTATTAAATATTATCTCACAGCCTACTGTGTCCGATTCTGAAGCCTCCGCTTGTGTAAGGAGCATAGTATTATCACGATTTAGGCTAGGGCCACACGAGCGCACGAAGTACGTCCGTTGCAAGAAAAGTACTTTATGACGGATGTTGCTGAGGACACCACACAGTTGCAGAATGCGGTGCGTAGATTTTTGTCTGCAATGAAGCCAGAAGAAAGTGTATCATTCACCTCCCTTATTTATTTCTACAACGGAAGCAGTTTCTGCACTCGTGTAGTCCCAGTCTTAGGGGTGACTATAGACGAGGTATGGATCGGTGAAAGGGTTTATTTACCACTATACACACCACTCGGATCTACAAGTAATTACAGAGCTATCACTGATTTTCACACTTTACAAGTAATTACACACTATGCCTTCTCAGTCTATTTTCACTAGTCATTTCCTGGTAACGAATTTTAACAATGGAGATTCTTCAGCTTCTGTGGTCACCCAGTTACCCGCTGATTAACACTCCACAACTGAAGTGTGAACGCAATTATAGCGCCATCTCTTCCCAACCTGCCTTGCAGAACTCAAATCTCAGCTGCCAAATCAACTGGGCCCCAGAGTGGCGGCCATTTCACACCAACCTCCTGGTCTTCTCTTTACAGGCTGACGTTCAATTAATCTCTATCAACTGACAAGTATCAACTGTGTCACCTCACTTGTTTTCAAGATAACTCCTCGGTACCAACCACATAGTTCCATTGTTGTAGTCCAACTGTTGCAGCTGCCTAGCAACGAGCTGCTTAACACGATTTCCAACTGCAACTCTATTGCTGAAGAGGAATGCTTACCGCTCTGTTGCATAGCAACAGTTGTTGACTAGCTTGTTCAGAGGTCTTTGCCTAGCAACGGGTCTATACGCCACAATATCATTGATACCAAAGGAGGAACATGCTGTACTGTCCTTTAAACCTACTTCATCAACCACAGCACTCTTGACAGCCTTTTTCTTGACTAGCCGCGAGTAGATTTCCCCGATACAATACCAGGAATATTGAGTTTAAATTGATATTCCCAAATAACTTTTAAACATATATATATATGCTATTCAAATTAAAACTTTTAACATTTAAAACCCTAAATCACTGTTACGTAAACCCTGCACCATCTGCTGGCAAATATTTTAAATATTTAATATTCCCTTATCTCAGTAAGACCATGTTGCTCTACAGGGCTTATTTTGACACATTTGTCAACAATTTTTCTTGATGCTGTGTTTCAACTTAATCTGGTTCGGTTGTTAGATTTCTTTTTCCTCTTGTGGCTTGAAGTGAGATAACATCATTCTGCTTGTCCAGATGATGATTTTGAGAGATCATGTGTTTTCGTATTTTCGCGATGTTAGTTAAAAATTGCCAAATTTAGCGGATAGAGGGTTTCGCGTGGTCAGCGCAACGAATCCCCCACGGCCGTCAATTTCGGTTTTCTAGACTGGACCCGCTATTTCCTTGAAATAGCTCTTCAATTATCCTCACGAGGCACTAAATTCACCGACAAGTGGCGGTCGGTATAGTTCGCTTGCGGAATAAAACCACACAGTTTGTTTTTGTTTGTTTGGTTTAAAAGTAGGTTTTACATTTTACTTTCGAGCTGAGTGGTTGTACAGCAACGTTTCCACTGTGAACACTGAAATAGTGACTGTGACTGAAAGTGAGACGTTGAGTTTAGAATTGGCACCATTAATCTATGAGTGAACTGGACATCGACCTAGAAGGAGTACATTGCCTTTTGTAGAACAATTCTGAAGAGAAGCTTTCGATTTTGGAAACTGCAGCTGTGATCAAACAATATGACACACCTCTAATTCTGAGAATGGAAAAGCCAGCTGATGCTAAAAGATGCGCTTCTTCAACAAGAATTAAATGCCCATTTTTAAGATATATAAAGGTAAGCTGACTACTCACCTCCACCTAGTGCCGAGGTTAAGAATGGTGGAGCTACATCTCCAATCCCCATATGTGTTCATGGCTTGATTAAGTTTAAGTTAATTATATTTATTTACTTTTAACACAATTTAATATTAATATTGAAACACTTATGTTAGATTCCTTGACGTTTATAATTACAGACTCTATCTGAGTGAACATAAGTGTTCGGTGTTTAGTGACAATCATGCATGGTGATTGAAAATCCTTTTCAGAAGCACAGAAATAGAATATTTGTGGACATTTATTGTAAGAAATATAGCCTAGGTTGGTAATAAGAAGTCCAGAAATTGACTCTGTGATAAAAGAGTAGAAAGCTGCCTCCAATTTGCTACTTCTAACATATGTCTGGATACTGAGAACTGGTGGAAAAGGAACAGTAGTTAACTTTTCATTGACGTTCTTCTCTCCTTCAAAATAAAACTGTTAAGTCCTAAAATTTTATTACTGAAAGATATTACGTAGTCTACGATTGACTCACATGCTTAATTTTCTTTGGAATTCCATCTTCGTATTTTCCATGTGATTCAATAAATTCCCTATTTTCCATTCACTTCTACTCATAATAGGCCTATACAAATCCAGTAGATCGATTTCTTCAGTATTTCTTTCTCCATTACCATTGTTCATGCCACATTTTCACATCCAACTCTGTCCTCTTCCACTTCAGCATTAAAATTCCCCATTATGCATACATTTGTCCTCATAATAACTCTGTCTAGTTCTGTTAAAATATCACATTTTTTTGCATCATCTGAACCGTATTGAGGTGTAGGTACTTGAATTAAGTCTATTTCTTCTTCTTGTTGCTTTTAAAAATTCTATTTTCTTTATTTTTCCAATAATGTTCTGCACTTCAGCTATTCTTCGTATGTATATGAAGAGAAACATCGTTGCTACTGTCTTCTTTTCTGCAATATTTTCTTCAATCACATGATCTCATAGCTTTCTCATAATGAATTAATCCTCTTTCTTATCCACTCTTGTTTGCTAAGTCCAAATTAATTCTCTTTTCTTTCCCAATGTTTGGCTTTCTTTCATGTAGTACAAGTATAATGAGTTGTTCATGATAACACATTATAATTTTCAGCTGACTTACAGGGAGAACTTAGGAAAGCAGCTGACAGGAGTATTCACACCCATTCACATTAGCTACAGGACAGGATCACCCCGCTTGTTGCCATTTGCTGAACTGCAGGTTGCTTTCTCTTTTCATCACACTGCTATGAAGAATTTAATCAGAAATTCTTAATTTAAAACTTAATTGCCATGTATGTGTCTGGCTTTCTAATTATGTTCTGATGTTTATTTTGTTGCATAAATTACCCTGAGTATGGTTGGGGGGTTGTATGTTACTTTTCCATTGACCCTTAATGGAAACTGATGCTCAGATGTAAGGAGATATTTCTCTAAGGTGCACCAACCCACATTACAATATATTTGAAACATACAATATAATTCATTCAGACTAAGAGAAGAAATGCATTTATCATGTTCTCTGTTATCATTTAGTCACACAGTAGAGGATTTCTTATTTAATTGTCAGACTGATGTCAATGGCTAATGTTGTCAGTGCAGTGGAGAATATGTGCCTGTTGTGTGACTTCATTATTTTATTTTTTATACTACTCATTTTTATTCTCAAAAGTATTCTGTAATCAGGTGAATCTGAGCGGTGGATAATGCTATCCAAGTTTATAGTAGTTTGATGTTATTTTTTTTTATTGTCCATGGTTGTGTATAGGTGACAGGTATTTCAACAGTGTATGCCTTTGGTGAGGAGTCCTGGTCACTTCTGTTGAATGTCCATATGAAGTTTTATGAGGATGTTGCAGTAGAAGTCGGCATTTATGACTCCTAACCAAAGGCGTGTTGCTCTTGCATGATAACGTGCGTCCCCATACTGCCAACAAGACAAATGAGACACTGCAAAATTTCAAGTGGCAAGTCTTTGAGCATCCTCCCTATAGCCCCGACCTTGCTCCAAGTGACTTCCATTTGTTCGGTCCTCTTAAACATCATCTTTCAGCTTGACATTTTCCCAACGATGAAGCTGTAGAAGGGGAAGTCACCGCCTGGTTCCGACAGAAGCCCAAAGAATTTTATGCTGCTGGTTTTCAGGCGCTTGTGAAACGATGGGACAAGTGCCTCAATGCACAAAGGGATTATGTTGAGAAATAAAAGCATTTTTCAAATCAGTACTCTTATTTGTTTAAGATCTATATCCATTTGTAACTTACTTATTGACTTATCTATGTACATCTGAAAACTTTTCAGTAGTCAGCCTTATTGTTCAGTTAAATGAATTCACATGCACTCAATTTTATACTAAAATGTTCTGTGTAATAACAGTGTTTCAAAATTAATAAATTATGGAAGAATACAGTATAATAGTAAAATTTTTCCCTCTACCTAAGTAAGCATCACATCATCATGACATCTGGGGAATATGAAGTGTAGCCCCACCCATTTTGAAACCAATGCACTGGAAGGCTTGAAGCTTTATTCGCATTTCCTACAGTATAGAGCATACCTGGCAGGAGAAAGAGTGAATCTTAATAGTCGATCTGAACATATTTTTAAAGGCAGTTTCTACCCAAAAAATGGATGCCAACAGATGTTTGGGGGATGGGATGTGGGGTTGTGAGAAAACCATGCTTATAACCTTCTTCCCCAGATTTTTTGAAAAAATTGAATCGAATAAAATGAAGAACACTTTTCAAATGTTAATAATAAAGTTAATTGTACCGACAGAAACGTATTAATTTCAATTGAATATCCTAGGGAAAAATTTTCCAAAGCGTGGTACGAGTACCACCAACGACATGCCAACGATATCTAGGGATACGCTGCACTGGTTGAGCTACCGTCGCCGACCACAATACAAGTCGTACCGGACTGTACCGAACCATATGATGGCAGGAGTGTCCGTCCTTGATGCTACATTTTGCGGCTCGTATAAATGTGTGCTAATGAGGTCTTGCGTTGAAAATAGCGTGTAATTCATGCTAAGAAATATGTCATTAAGACGTATTTAAAACTTCGTAGAAGTAGAAAGCAGGAAGTAATTTTGGAGAGCATACATTCCGAATCAGTTATAATCTGAATACGAAGTGCTGCAGCAGTATGAAGTAGGAGGTTAAAGAGGTTAAGTATCGCTTAATATGTTATTTTATTGAGTATAAACGTAAGTGCTGTGCATGCAGGAGGAATACAGAGGTTTCAATAGACGTCAGTAATGACTGTAATGACGTAGGATGTGTTTATGATTTGTCACCACAATGCAGGAAAACGTCATAACATGAAGATAGTTCAAATTTTGTAGAATGACAGATAAAAACAGAGTAATGAAGATTATATTGAAGCCGGGGAATGCCTGCAACCATTTAGCGTAGAATTGTAAATTTTTCTTAAATTTAAAATGTACAAAAAAATCGTAACTTTACTTCTTGTTTTGTGTGTGTGAAAATTAGTGTATCACGTTAAGGGAAGAATGTAGTTTGAAGGTGTCAGAGCAGGGTGCTAAGGAGAATGTTGGGACTCAAGAGGGGTAGTACCATGTTAAATGTCCCCCTTATCACCATAACATAGTGGGAGGCAGCCTTTTAGATGTGACTAGATCATATAAGTAGACATGGACATCTGACAGTAGTTAGTTCCATAAGGTGCAGTGGGTTCTGGCATCTTGCAACTGTGATACAAAATGTTAGACCAGACTGTAGACTTGGATAGATTTTTTTGGAATGATCTAAGCACAGGACAGCTGACATGGGATTTGGAACTTAGAATGCAAGAGAAATAGGAAAGGATAAGGTTTAGTGGGAGGACAGGAAGTCAGTTGAGGTGATGGTGGCACTAAGTGAGGAATGATTACACATATTTTTATGAAAATGGAAGCATTAATTGCCACAGACTTACTTTTTTCAGTTCTTTCTCTTTCTTCCTATTTACTTTTTCTTTTTTGGCATAAGGTAATCACATGAGCAGTAAAGTTTGTTAGTAAAAGGATATCTTACATACTATGAAAAAGTTGTTGGTCAGGAATTTTCCTTAATGTACATTCCAGGTGATGGTAACAGTGGGTAGAAGGTAGAGGTTGTATGAAGAAGTGCAGCATGTGTTTGTTGAGTTCCCAAAGGACAACATGAGAATCTCTTTAGGGGGAGAAGATATTTTCAAATGAACATTTGGTAAAGAGGGGTTACATGTAACTAGTTAATGATAATATGGTTAGAGTAGTAAACTGTACCAGATCAAAATATTTGTAAGTGTAGAATGTTTGTATATCAGAGCTTTCATAAATACACATGGAATTCCAGTGATGGAAAGCTGTACAATCAAATTGATCACATCTTGAGAGCTGTGAGATGGCATTTAAATATACTTGATGTCTGATCTCTAAGAGGGGCTGGCAAAGGTGGTGATCACTACCTGGCTGTTGCAACAGTTAGGGAAAGGGGAAAGTAAATGAGCACTGTGCAGACATTCAATCCAAAGTAGGGAAATGATGTGGAGGGTAAAGAACAGTATGTTATTGGTTAATAACTTTTATTAAAGAATATTTGTTTTTTTTTCTATATAATTACAGAAGCATACACTTCATAACAAATATAACAATCTGTTGGAAAGCATAAAATGGATGTCATCAAGACCGAACCATGTTCAGATATGAAGGTAGAAAGAATGTCCCCACTAAGTGAATATTCATATTTTGATATCACTCATAAGGATTTGGTGTCTGTGGTAAAGAATGAAGATATGGTGAGATTTGCTTATGTTTCTCTATACAAAGGAGTATATTTAATTAGAAGTTCCTTGAAACATCTGTTTATTAGATTATTTCAATAATGTGGCATTTTTGCTTAGTTCAGACAGCCACACCTTATCGTAACAATTAAAACTAAGTCAGTTCAGTTACTGTGACAATCATAGAGATTGATTGTGTATAAATGAAACTGAAAGAAACTAAATGGACTACAAGTATCTGTTAATGAAAGGTAGAGAAGAGCAGAAAATATGAATAATTTAGTTTAGTGAAATTTGGCACTAGAACTATTGTAAACGTAAAATGAAATAAAGATCATGTTATGAAGATTTGTGCTGAGTCTCAGACTTGGGTGCATTATTTGGAACAACTGAAGCAACAGAAAACAAACACGAGATTTGTGACTTAATATCAGAATGCTCATAGCTCAGTTTCCTTGCAAATCAGTAGCAAGGGAATTAGTAAAGTATAAATTAGATATAGTGGGAGTGTAGAAGGTCAGAATGGAACAGTGGTAGCCCTAAACCAGCAGATGGTTACACTATTTCATATGGAAAAGGGAATATAAATTATTCAATATCATCTCAGCACCTAAGAAAGGGGTGTTGAGAATTACTGGTAGCTGATCCTTCAGATTTCAACATGGATTTCCAACTCTTCTGTAGACTCATCATTCAAAACTGTCCTTCAGAGCACTAAATGTAATGTCCAGACTTATATTCTTTGTTTCGAAGGATTGTGATGACACTGTTGCGAGACATTTTTCTTTCTGCATCTGAGACTTTTTTTTTGTAGTGACTGTTGAGATACTGTTTTGAAATAGTTCAGAGGCAGTTTTGAGAAATGATTGCTGGATATGTATGTATCCCATTCTGGAAGGGAAACAGATACAAAGTCTGAAGTGTGGGAGCTTACAACAGTGGTATACTGATTAGTCATCAAATATCTTGCAACAAGTGCAAACACTTTTTTTAATATCAGCATAGTTTACCAGTTTATTTTCACATTAGCGTTGACTTAATTTAGTTACTCTGTTTTTTGTATATATTGATAATTTGTTTATAGTCTGAGTATGTGGAAAACTGAGTGTACAGTGAAATGGATTGATCTGTCACATTCCATATCATGCTTGTGGGATGTTACATATGTAGACTATAAGAATGAGACAGAGAAGAAAACATACAGACAGTGATGGGTGAATTTGTTATGAGTAATAATGGGGGGGGGGAGTAAATTCATTGATTAAAGATCCAATTTTGAACTGAAAGTAAGAAGGTTACTTGATTGTGAGAAGGGTGGTTGTTCTCCAGAGAATATAGTTAGTTTGGACTTGAGTCACTTTTCTTTAAACTTGAAGGAAAGGGTCAAGAGGAAGCTGAAATACTGATAATGATGTGAGTTAAGTATGTTATTTGTGATAAGAGCAATCAAATATGGTTTTATTACCATGTAAGAAAATAATTTATTTAAGCACAATTGTTGTGCCAGGGAACTTTTGTTCTGCAAAAACCAAGTATTCATAGAACTCTTTTCTAATATCTCCTGCTGTTTCCACTGATCTTTATGGCAGATTCTATGTATTATCGAATCCCTATCTTCATTTTAAAAATGTGTTGTCCATGATACTGGCACTACTCTGTTACTGAATACATTCTCAAAATCAAATGTATTAGGATGTGATAGGAATTCTTTATTGAGTGTTCACACAGAGGAAGGTATGAAAATAAATATGTGTTACAGAAATGACCTCAACTTAATTGGGCTGCAATTCCATCTCAACAGCATGAACATGGAGGATGGAATAGCATCCATTTCCTGAAGGAAAGGAAGAAGCTCCTCTCCAATCACAAACCAGTTACTTTATCATAAATGGTACTTCCCCACCTGAGCCCTCAATGGGTCAAATAAGTGTTATTTCCCCACTTCACATCTGCTGGCATAATGAACAGGGCTGTCTCTTTGTAGTTCTCAGATTAAAATATTGAAAATCATTGTTTCTGGAAAGGGCCAACTTTGTGAATTTTTTTCTTCCTCACAGTTCATGTTTTTTCCTGAAAATATTGGATCTTGGAAAGAACACTCTTTACACTATTCAGTTTCCCACTCTTGATGAAAACTGGGGTGCCCTTTGAGGGGCTGTGAAAACAACACAGCAAGCCACGAGGTAACCCTGGATGACATCAAGAACCTCCTCATCAAGATAGACAGGCGGCATGAAATCTGCCCCATACAAGAAGGACGATAGGAGTATGGACACGAACCTACATGGTTTAAAAAATTTTTAACTAGTGACAGAGGTTTTTTAAATTAACATCTAGAAATCTTTAAAAAATTTAAAAACTACAATACCAGGAAGCTGCTGTGATTGTGAATTGTTCGACTTTATGCGTACTGTGCATTATAGAATATAAGTGTATGTATTTTAAATCAAAACACCTATTGTGATGGTAGTTTCTATTTCGTAATGATGTTCCCTCTGAAGATGGTCCGTACGGACCGAAACATGTAAGGGAGATAAGTTTTCATGTAGTAAAAACTTATATGTCACATTGAACAGAGTGGTTTGTATTTATAAAGTGAAAGCATAGTATTGACTTCGTATAAGGTTTGTATAAGAGTTCTTCTCAGCTGACAGATGGCAGATCCATGTAACGGGCACACCCAATTCCACATACCTGCTGGATAACTGGGAGTTTATTGTATTTGGTTTTATGTAGCTTTGTTTTGCAATTTATATGTGAATGGAAAGAACGAGCTCTTCCACACGAAGAGTTACACATGTGTTGACTGATCTCCATTTCCCCATAATCCATTTGCAATGCCAACCTTGGCTCTTTTTTGAGGAACGTGACAGCTGAAGTTGCTGACAGAATGATTTAGTATTAATTTGTGTTTGTTATTTGGACTAAAATGACATGAATGTATGCAGATTTGAACTGGACTGTCTCAGCTTCAAGGCTATAGTAAAGGAGATCTATTATGGGAAAGTAAGAGTGTAATTGGTATTAATCTCATTACTTTATAGTGTAATATGGATGTGTGTAAATTGGAACCTGAGCCATGTATTGATGATCAACCAGTATTCTCTCTCAGTGATGATAAACTGATTAGCACGAAAGAGGAAGAGTCCCCAGTACCAACAGCATGTTCATCAGGAGAGAGGAAAGTTAAAGTGAGTTGTATACTTTCTTCATACACTTCTGCATGTCTGTTTTATAGTTATATATTTATTGAAATCTGATATGATGTTTTTCCTGCCTTAGTTGTTGTGTTGTCCACTCCCTTATGCTATTCTGCTTGACCAAATTGTCACAGGCATATGAAGACTTTTGGTTTTCCAGTGGTTGGTGGATGCGAGTAGTCTACCTCATTCACATTTTATGGTGTTAGATTAGATTAGATAATATAGGTAAGCATTGAACAACCCTTGCACTGCAACTATGTACGGTATATTGTGCATCCCCCCTGNACCAATCTTCCAGACAATTCTTGCATTTTTGTAACCATTATGAGTTTTTGCACACTTTCCGAGTGTTAATGAATATGTACTTTGAAGCGTGATTATGACAGTGTTAATGAATACTTCATTCTTCATCCTGATTGTCATTCATCAGCATTGCAGGTATTTACCTATGTAGGATGTAAGCCACCGGATTTAAATTGTCCTTCCAGGGCACTTCCAATACTTTCTGGAATCCTTATGATATAATCAGAATTCTTAAATCCATGGGTTACAACATGTTGCACAAACACTGAAGCCCTCCTAAGGAAAGTGTATGCTCTCAAGTTTAAAATAAATTGGCTGCACTGGTATTTTCATTGCAATGTAATGTTTAAAGAGTATATGAGAATAAAGATATTTTAATTGTATTGTGACATGCTGGGTCAAGTAAAGTGGGTTGGGTTATTTAACAGTGCTCTCAGTATCTAGACTATATTATGGATGAAAGAATGAGTGATGAACTGGAAAGGATTTGGAAGGAAGTGATCTTGGCGTAATGAAGATGAGCTATGCTAGCATTTGCCTGAGAGGACTAAGGAAAGCAATGAAAAGCTCAATTAGAATAGTCAGTATCCCAGTCAAGATTCAAACTGAGCATCATCTGAATATAAATTTAGAGCTTTACCTCTAGCCAAACATGCTTGATATCAAGCAACTTAAGAAGGTGAATCTTCACAATGTCAGTGTGTATAATGGCAGGAATATCTCCCTGACTTAAAGAAAATTAAGAAATTCTTCTATTCATATCATTTTTAATGGTATTGCAAGAAGCTAGCAAGATTAGCAGTGGATTTAAGGTTATAAATTGTTCTTGAAAGGGAACATAGCATTTATTGTGCCTACATACAAAGTATGTTGAATTGAAGGGAATACCTGAACTGTTCTACTGTAAGATGGATTACACGGTAGTCTGCATGCTGTGGTTATTGTGACACTTGTTGGTTGACTGTGTTTTATTCTAAGATTTTGTCCATATGCATCTTGGGTCTGTGCTCAAACCTGGGGCCATATGGTGCTTAACCCAAGGCCTTATCTTCTACTATAAAGAAAATCATGTGAGATTTTAAGTACATCTTTATTTATTTCTCCAGTCTGTAGTCCATTGATTAAAAATTCCTACACTGTTTGAGCATAAAGGAAGACATTGCTTAGATTGCTTTCTGCAAGGAAAAGCAGTCCTGCATGACAGTCCATGTAGTTTTTCTTTGTATCGTTGCAGATAACTTTTGAACCAGTTGATTAAGCTTTTCTTAAACTTGATATGAAGTTCATTTCTTTGGAAATCACTGCAACACCTTATGCCAGTAATTCCTCCCCTACACTATATGGACATGGCAGCAATGAAAAATTCAGAGGAGACACAACACGTGATGTACAATATTTTCAGCATCATAAAAGAATTGTTGGTCTTGCTCATGGGTATTGTTGGATCCTGTGACAGCTACTAGCTACTGCTTGTTCCATTAACCTGACTGAGGCACTAATAATTCTGCTATTGTTATGTGGGCTATGATAAAATGCTAAAATAGACAAATATAGAAATATACATAAAGGAAAATGACAGTAAGAGCCACAGATTTTCAAAGTATAATAAATATGGAAAAAAGAGGAGGATAATGCAAGTTGTGAAGTAAAGTAAAACTATCAAGTGAAAATGAAGGTAATCAGAAAGATATTATGTGTGAAATTTGTATTGGTTTGTTTCCATTATAATTTTTACTTGAGTTCAGTCATTTGTGACATAATCTCATCAAGATGTAGTATGAGTTGTATATGTAGTCATAGTCTGACTTCTTTTATTCCTTATCCTCTGATTAATGCTAGGGGATTCTGCTGTGCTTGCTCACAGTTCAGTCATAACATCCAGTATTAAAATACAGGTTTCAAGAATCATTTCTAAATAAACAATTTTCATGAAAATGATGACAGAGTATTGTTGGCAGATCCGTCTGTCAGCAGAATTAGAAGTATCTGCAAGAAGTGCATATACATTTATGATCCAATATGGCACCATATTGTACAGGGAGTTATGTCCTCCATGTCCCTTCCATACTTTGCTGGTAAAAAAGAGGTAATGTTGTCCCTGTACTTAACTAATTAAGCATTACATTGTGAAGGCATATGGGGGAGTGGATGTATAGATCCACATTTTCTTGATCTCGGAACTAGTTGGAGGTGAGTTTGCTGGCTCATTTATAATTTTACACGTTCCTTTTCTTACTCCATCTTCATATTGTGCATGGTGTCAGGTATAATGTGATGAAATACAGGTGGCGTGAGTTCACTAGGTTTTGACGGTTGTGATGTTTCCAGTATGCATTCCCGTGTTATCCTTCCTGGTAAGTCCCAGTATACTACCAGCAGTATATCTTTCTGATTGAATTAGCACCTTGCAGTCTCTGACTCAGGCAGTCCATAATTATGGAAACTTTTTCAACAGATGGATTTTTGTGCAAATTGTTTTGGTAGTTACTTTTAGCAGAGCAATTTAAAATATCTGAATAATTAGTCTCAAATTATTTGTATCACAGGGTGCAGATTGTTCTGTCATCTTCAATCCTGTGTTCTGTTACTGGACTTCAGTACTGAGTATTAGTTTTTCAACAGTCTTACGCCATAAAAATATATTTCCTTGCAGGAAGGGTTGTGGTGTGTTTCTGGTGTTGAGTCAGCTATGAATCTACCAGTCAAAGATGAGTTAGATGAAGAAATAACAATAGAGGAACATGAAGTGAGGCTGGACAGGTGAGAATAATGATAACTTTTAGTAACAGGAATATACAAAGTGATTCAGAGTCTTATAACCAAACTTTAGGAATTTGTTGAGGAGATAATATTGAGTAGAAAATGTAAACACTTGGCAGATGCACCACTTTTCAAACTTTCAGTCCTGATTTTTGTATTTGTGTGTCATGTGTCTTCATAACATCATAGGTAGAATTCATACTGCATTTGCTTATGGTTCACATTACTTCTGGCTATAAAGTAACCGTAACAAGAGAATGGGAAGGCATGCTTTACCAGTGTGGAATATACTGATATACATACATATTGTATAAGGCTTTCATGACAGAAATGCTACAGCTGCAGTGAGGAAATACCAACATCAGACTCCAAATCAGAGGCAACCCAACAGTTATATCTGGAGTGGTATACTACTTCTGAGTGAAACAGGTGCATTTATACTGCCAGCACATGTTGCCCATGATAAATGCATTGTGCAGAAATAAGAGCAAGAGTTAAATGCTGTATTTGCTGACCTATCAACTAGTACTTGTTGAGTTATACATAAAACATATGCAGCTTGGTGTACACTGTATTAGGAGCAGTTCCTTTCTTATTGTGTGCATCCTGTCCAAGGACTGCAGCCAGGGGGCAGCAGTCTTTGCCTCTAGTTTTGGTGGTGGCTTATACATAGAACTAGAGAAACCTCTTTGTGTACATGAATGGACCCTGGAGAATTGTGATGCTACTCTCCGTTTGAGCAGAGGTTAAACATTAGTGTTTGGGACCATGCGCATTGGATAGTGAGTTATTTTAATGGAATCCGGTACACTGATTTTCTTGAAAGAACAGTTCCCCTTGTATTGGAGGCTGAACCATTCAGTGTTTGTGAAAGCATATGGTTTCAGCATGATTGTGTTGTGCAAAGTGCGTAATTGGTTGTACAACCTATTATCTAGATATGTTGATCAGCTGTGAGGATCTGATCATCTGGCTTCCACATTCTCATACTGTGAAGGCACTTAATTTTTTTGTATGTTTATGCATCAAGGAAAATGTTTGTGCTATGGAAGTTCAAGATAGTGATGGTTTGATCAAATCAACCTGATACATTCTTAGAAAATTGGCAGTGATGATGATTTGAAGAAGAATTTATTTACATTTTCATCTCCAAATTATCCAAACAACCACCTGAGGCCACAGGACTTTGAATCATTTTGTGTGTGTGTGTGTGTGTGTCTCTCTCTCTCTCTCTCTATATATATATATATAAAATGGAGGAACAGGAAATGTGCTGTCTCTTATCTTGAACGAGGTGACTTATTTATATAGTGACTGAGATTTTCCCAAACCCCCTGAAACAAAATCTACGAATACACAGATAAATACTATGTATACCATTTGACAGATGTTGCTGTGGCATCAGAAAGTTAAATCAGAGTTCATCTACACTTGAACAATACAGATGATTTTAAATACTTAAGAGTCATGTCTCATAATTACTTGTCATCAAACAGAACATAATCACAAATATCAGAATTTAGCCAAAAGGATGTGCTGTATTCCTGTACTAAATACTTTATATAAAATATATATTAAACAATGAACTGCTACAGAGATACTTATGATGACTTCAGAACAACAAATACAGAACTTGATGAAACAAAACTATTTCCCATATTTTTTTATTGGAGTTACTGAAACAAAACTTTGACTCACTGCCTGTATTGACTAATAGTAAAGAAATTTACAGAAGTTAAATAATCAGCCATTAAACCTTTTGGAATACTTTCTAGCACAGCCCGTGAAGTTTAAAATCACATGGTTTGCACAGAAATAATGAAGGAATTCAGTTTTAACTGTTTAAACTAATGCTGCAGCATTGTCCTCTATACTTACTTACAAATTCCAGAAAATTGTCTTTAATTCACAGCTTATAAAAGAGAATAAATACATGAAGAATGTCTGGCTGAATGCTTTTGAGAATATCCATTTAATAATGAACACACACAAAACTTGTTACATGTGTGTATATGTACGTGTGCACATATGCACAAACACATGCATATGCAGAAGGACACATTTTAGCATTGATTTATCCGTTGAAGCTGGAGTTTGGTGTGAACTGCATGTGAAAAGAATTGAGTGCCCCTACAGTGGCAAAATAGATTTATTCAGCATTACTCTATATTAACCTACTTGACCTGAAAGCACTCATTATCTGAATCAGTTGTAAGCTGCTTTTTCAGTACTGCAAGGTGTCAAGTGAGATTCATCAGAAATTATGGTGGTATGTACTTACGAGTAATGTGTTTTGCCCATAACAGTTTTCAGTTACTCCTGACATTTTATTTCACTCATTAATCTTTCATGGGGGAAGGTATCTTTTGGTATAATTTACCTAGCTTGGAGCACTTGTTTACATTTGGTACTGAAGAGTGTATGATGAGGCATACCTTATAGGTAACAGAGCATAAATATCTTCAGTGGATTCATCCAATTGTGTGGACAAATGTGTAATAAAGAACACATAGTGAACTGAAACAGATGAACACATGAATATTTACAGTAGAATTCTGATTTAAGGTTTCTTCATACAAGAGATACCCCAGTTTTTTGTTCATTTATTGTGGTTCCAGCCAAACCCTCCTATAAATGACATAATTTATCCAATTTTTTATATCTCCATTTAGTAAATAAAAGTCCAGTCTCTACAGGAAATCTGATTTTTGGTTTGGTGTCATGCATTTATTTTCCACTCATTTTCTGTCTTAGTTTTAGGTATTCACATGCATTTCAGTGGTTTTTCTTGAAAACATTTGTGTTGCCTGTGAACTTTCCATCAAATAGAATTGTGTCCAGATACCTAAGCTTGCAGTGATGCTCAAAGTGATATGTCATTAGATTCAATATATGCTTACAATTACTTATGAAGCACTATAATTATGATTAGCTGTAACTTTTTATAAGAAATTGCACAAAATATTTCTGCTTGTGTGTATAATGATTCTATCTTTTAGTGAGGACACAGCTGTTTGTAGAACAGAAGACATTTATAAAGGAGACGGCTCTTCAGTGGAATCAGTACAAAAGCCACATATATGTAATATATGCCACAAGTCGTTTCGATGTCCATCTTTTCTTGTTCATCATTATCGATCACATACTGGAGAGAAGCCATATGCCTGTGAGATATGTAACAAGACCTTTTCCCAAAAATCAAACATGAAGGTACATAAGCGAATTCATACTGGGGAAATGCCCTACACATGCAGTACGTGCAACAAATCATTCAAACAATATTCTTGTTTTGTTGCACATCTGCGGGGTCACACTGGTGAAAAGCCTTACACTTGTGAGGTTTGTAACAAACGATTTCCACACCTTTCTTCACTTCGTCGTCACCATCGAAAACATACAGGCGAGAAACCATACAAATGTGATATATGCAATAAGGTATTTTGTGATCGGTCTCAAATTGTGTATCATATAATGTCTCATATGGGAGAGTTGCCCCTCAAATGTGATAGATGTAACAAAGGGTTTTCCACTAGATCAACCTTGTATGTACACCAGAATACACATACAGGACTTAAGCCATATAAATGTGAATTATGTTTGAAAAAATTTGCTGATAGTTCAAACTTTGCTAGACATTTGCGGACTCATACCGGCCATAAACCATTTAAATGCGATGTGTGCAGCAAAACTTTTGCTCAAAGTTCAGGCTTATTACTTCATTCGCGGACCCACACTGGAGAGAAACCCTATTCATGTAAAGTTTGCAACAAAGTGTTTTCTCGTTCAGCACATGTTACCAGGCATGTGTTGATTCACACTGGCGAGAAACTATATGCGTGTAGTATTTGTGGTAAAGCCTTCCATCAGAATGCGACCCTTACAAAGCATAAACGCATTCACATAAAGAATGTTATATAATGGAATTTTTATTTAATAATTATGTAATCTTTACAGATGTTTGAGGTAGCTATAACGTTTGAAAATACAAAATTAAGTAGTCTATTATTAAGATATTTGAGGTTCTCAGAGAGGTGAATATTAAAAAGTTCTGTGTTCTGGGATATGACAATATGTAATTTGGTAGATAGGTACTGACATTTCAGAGGAACATTGTGCTTCCATTTTGACCACAGAACATTAAGCTGGCTGAAGAAAAACTGTAAGTGAAGGAAGGGCTGATATGATTGAATCAATGGAAACCAGCGTTATTGCACAGGCTATTTCCAAAGTTATATGTCAGTAGGGAAAAATTTAAGCATTGGAGGAACGGAGATGACTGGAGACTCAAGTCACAGGATATCATCTGGCTCAGATGTTTTACATTTCTTCAAGGAGTAAAATTATATTTCAGCACCCTGTCACATTAATTTAAGCTTATGTATAAGTAAAGCGTCTTTTAATGTAACTGTTTAGTTCTATATAAAATACATACACATATATAAACATGAACTTGGTGGTAAAAATGCCATTCCACAACTAAATATTTGCATTATAAAACAGTCTTATAATGCAATAAAATACAAACTAGGTGGTAAAAATGACATTCCACAACTAAATAATTCCATTATAAGATTGTTTTACATGCACAAAACAAGCACACACACATACATACATACATACATACATATGTATACAACACAGGAAACACATGCACACACGCATGCGCACACAGCACAAAACAAACACATACATATATGTTTAGAGGAGTAGATGACACTTGCTCAGGCAGAGCTTGAGTCACATTGGTGGGTTGTAGGCCAATGTAGATGAATTCCCCCAAATCTCTCACATAATGTAAGGATTCCAGTTATGTTGGTGGTGGAGCATAAGAAACTGCTTCCTTTTGCACAGTCTAGAAGTCTTTGAACTATGTGGTCATGATTGTTGGGAGACAACCTCAGAAAAGGAGGACTTTATGAGGAGAATGATCTTACCTTCCACTGTCTCTGGAGTCCATGGCATTTAAATTCTGTTCAGAATAACTCACATTGTCTTTGTTAGCTCTTATAGTAAGGCATGGAGAGCATACTTCTCTTCTCTGCTCATATTGTCTTTGGGCTTCCTGGAATCTATCAGGATCCTAACACTTTCATGTAAATCTCCTTGGCCGACTTCCCATGGCTTTCTCCATCCTACTGGGGATTTCTTCAGTGGGTATCGTCATGGGGGAAACTTCACTGTATCAGATCTTTGTCCAAGGCTGAATATGAAGTATCCTCTAACAATGAATTGCTCCAGCTCCTGAAGAATACTGGCAAGCTTAACCTTGTTTTGGCATTGTAATTTACTACAGTGCCTGGTTTTGCTGTCTGCTGCAACACAAGAATCCTTCTTAGTAGATGATACAACTGATCAGGGCCTGGTCATAATCAGTGAACCCCCTAAGCAGACAACAACGTATTCTGAACAACAAATTGGTTGATCTCATTTAGCTTGCACGTGAAATAGTGAATCCAGTCACAGGGCAGGTAGAAGCTGATATGTTGAATCCTCCTGGTGGCCTCAGAATGAATATGGTCCTTGAGCTTTAAGAAATGGGGAAACATATCTCTGTCTCTATGCTACAGTAAGAATGACTAGGAGCTAATCAGCCAAGCTTTTTTGATTTGGAGGAATTCAGATCTGCAGGTGTTGCAGAGTAGATTCTCAATAGGTCACACATCCCAGAAGACTGTACTTTTGGTTATTATTAATTTACTAGTAGAGTTTTATAGCTAAAATTATAAAAACGAATATACAAGCAACATGTTCCAGACTTAATGTTCATCTTCAAGCTCAGTTCACATATACAGATGATAGAGTAGAGACTGAATTATTTTTATTTAAAATTCTGTGTGTTAATTTAAAATGTTGGTATGTTGAAAGATTAAAACAGAAAGTTGGTAACAAGTAACTAAAACTGCCTATGACAGATATGCGTTTTCTGATTATTTTATATAAACAGGGCGAGTCTCCTTGGGGGTTGGCGTATCAGTTGGGCTTCTCCTGTGTCTCTACAGTGATACAATCTGTCAGTCCATCCACAGTCATTGCAGCCCATAACAAAGATGTCTCCATACTTGGTGAGCTCTTCAAACTCTCGGAATTCAGTGTTACTTTCTCTGTTGGCTTCCATTTTCTCTTTCAGGTTTTCTTGGCTGGCCCTTATTTCCTTTAGGTTGGCATCCATTTTTCTTGGTTCTCTGTCATGGCTTCCAGCCTTACCATCATTTCTTCTCTCATTTCTCTTAGATCAGCATCCATTTCTGGCTGGTTTGCTTACATTTCTGCTTGGTTGGCATCCATTCTGGCCAGCATTTCCATTAATTGTTCCATTTTTGTAATATGGCATCATATTGATGATAATTCATTATGTAAATGTTTAGTTTGATTTTTTTTCTTAATGATAATGTTTTACTGTTGATTTCTTTCTAATGTCTCTTACAATATACAGTTCTGTGGCTTTTGCAGTTTTGTACTCAGTCATGTAATTGATGGTTGACATTAATAGTATCAGTCGGTTTCTTATATCTGTTACATATAATTTTTGGCAAGTTCTAGGGCTGGTTTGGGCAAATTACTTGATCTGACTGCTGAATCTGCTTTCTATAATACATTTAATGCAGTGTGTATGGTATTAGAGCCCAGTAATGTTTCATTGGTGTAAGTAATATTTAATTATACACATATAAGATCAGGGTATTGTCATGGTATCAAACATATAATAAAAGTTGATGACTGATGAGTAAAGTAGGTTATCTAATTGTGCTGAGGGTACTGTAAATATATTTCAGCAAATAAGGCCAATGTAACAATGTCATCAGCTAGGTTTTTGGTTTGTTTCTCTTCATTGTTATTGTACTGAAAATAATTTTGGCCAGGTTTATTTCTTTCACATTGATTAATTCAGTAAAATTCAATATAAATTTTACAGCTGTATTTAAATGTCATGTGTTATGGAGATATATATTTCATTATTTGATATATTAGACTACATATTATGTCAGAAGCCTGTATGTGAAAGAGTCTGAACATGACCATTTGGACCAAAAAATATTGTTTATATATTTAATATTATTCTGAACATGCAGTTTTTCTAGCCAATAAAAAAAATATTTTGTTGTGCATATTAAATATTATAATTGACCTTTATGTTGTGGTACTATTCTACAATTTGTATTTATTATGTTAAGCCATCACTACAAAATCATTTTTTAAAATTTGAGGTCTTACACTTCGAATTTATTAAAGATATTAATGGTATATTTAACAACAGTCTCTCTGAAATCTCCTGCTTATATATGTACAAATTCTGCATAGAGGAAGTGCCACAAATATGAAACCTGCAGCAAGTTATGTGCTAGTTGCAGGACCCTGAACCACTATAAATGTATTCACGCAGGAGAAACTACATAAATGCAAAGAATGCCCATCAATAGTCAGTGGACTATGCAGCGTTATACCCCAAAAGATAGAACTCAATGTAACCACTTTTGTGGAAACCTCATTGTTCTCTCAGAGTGAGAGGCTTGTCATAACAGTTGCATACTGGTGGAAAGTGATATACACATGAAATCTGTAAAAGTGCTAATTTTCTCTTACCATCTTGCAAGGCACATTTTGGAGAAAACCCATACATGAGACATATATAACAAAACTTTTTCACTAAAGGGGAATCTATATGCAATGTAGCCACTCCCATCATGGTGAGAAACCATAGTATGATCGTTCGTATGAAGCGTAGATCTGACTAAACACAAACTTCCAATGGAGAAAATGCACTTATATGTGAGATCCTTAAAGTGGAATTGTCGTGAATAAGCAGTCTTGCAGGCAATAATTGAATTTAAAATGGAGAGAAGGCATAAGTATGAAGTCTTTAAAATCATGCACAGAAATATCAATACTGGTAAAAGGTTATTCAGATTTGATGTGTGTAATAAATCCCCATGCAGTTGGCATCTTATTGTGCATAGACACATTCTCAAAGTATAAACACACTATCATTCATGTGTACAGTTAACGTGATGAAACTTTCTCACACAGGAGAAGTTTTATTCATGAATGAATTTTGCAATGTCAAAAGCACATATTTTAATGTGATACTTGTTCAGTCTTTCTTACAAAACAGATGACTTCCTTCCCATTGATGTATTCACATTACAGAGGATGCTACTGAATGACATTATGTTAATTAAATTCCTCATGAAATAAAATTTGGCTCACCGCTTATCAACACACAGGAAATTAAACAAATGCAAATTTAACATACTAGCATGTGTTCCAACTTTTTAAAATTTAATTTACCCTTATACTGACATAGGCTACATCATACTGAATGTGTTCTACACAATAAAACATTATAACTCTTATCCAGTGTAGTCAAGAATTCATGTATTACACTGTCCCATGGATGAATGCAGTTCTTGTTGGAACTATCCTGTATACTCAAATGTGAGTGATGTGCACTAGATAACTGATGCATGCCACCTTTACCTGTAAATATAACATTTTGTGAGAATAAGTATTTACCTTACATGTATGTGAATAATTATCTTGCAGTCTTGGAAATCAAAATAAAGGGAAAAAATATATACTACTCTGTCCAAAAAGTATCTGACCTTGGGCCGGGAAAAAAGTTCTGTATCTGGTTGGTTACAATACCTAATCGCCTTCAAAGTAGGCCCCTTGTAACTCCACACACTTAGCCCAGCGGTCCTTCCAACGCTGAAAGCAATTCTGGAAGGCTTCTTTTGGAATGGTGTGCAGCTGCGCCGTCGCGTTCTGTATAATGTCCTTGCAGCTGTCAAAATGGCAGCCTTTTAATGGTGTCTTCAATCTCGGGAACAGCCAGAAATCACAAGGAGCCATGTCAGGAGACTAGGGAGCCTGGCGAACCGGCAGAATGCCATGCTTGGCCAGGAAACCCTGGATCAGGTGTGATGAATGAGCTGGGGCATTGTCATGATGCAGCTGCCAGTTGCATGCATCCCACAGCTCCAGTCTCTTGCACCGAACTGCATCACGAAGATGGCAGAGGACTTCTTGGTAGTACTCCTTATTGACAGTCTGGCCTAGTGGTGTGTACTCATGATGCACAACACCCTGGTAATCGAAAAAAACAGTATCACCTTCACACTGCTCCGAACCTGTCGTGCTCTTTTGGGCCTTGGGGATGTTGGATGGTTCCATTGTGACGCCTGGACCCTGGTTTCTGGGTCATATCTGTACACCCACGACTCGTCACCAGTGGTCACAGTCTTCAGGAACTCAGGATCCCTGTTGGCGCACTCCAGCATGTCCTGCGCGACCTCAAGACAGAGTTGTTGCTTCTCTGGCGAAAGTGGCTTGGGCACAAATTTTGCCGCCACTCTTCGCAAGCCCAAATCCTCAGTTAAAATTGTGTTTGCGGAACCTCTGCTGATCCCCATCAGCAACTTCACGGATGGCCAAATAATGGTCCTCCGTGATCAATGTCTGCACTTTTTCAATGACATCAGCATTGATGGTCTCCCGGAATGCTGCTCACTGTCTGCTGACATACGGCCATGTTTAAAGCGGTTGAACCACTCTTTAATTTGAGTGACCCCCATTGCATCATCGCCGAAAGCCTGCTGAATTTTGCGAATTGTTTCTGCTTGGGTATCCCCAAGTTTCTGAGAAAACTTAATGCAGTATCGCTGCTCCAAGCATTCTATCCTCTTGAGCGAAACGAGAATGCAACAAACATGTGTTACACCACTTTGCTATCTGACAGCCACAGACGCATCCAGCAGTGTTGCGAGTCAGCAAAAAATCATGCATGCACATGAAAGTCCCTTCTACCACTACGCTCACTTTCCCCACCCCTTTGGCCATTACTTACGGCAGAAAAAAATAAAGTTGGATACTTCTTGGACGTATGGTACATCACTTTAGAAGAGAAATTGTAGTTGTCAAGAATGGACATAAATATTAGCAATGAATGGACTGTAAAGCAAATATGAACCTATTTGATAATGTCTGTGTATTACATATTACAGATTTATTGGTTTACTCAATCCATATAAAAGTTCAGATATGTATACAAAAAATGTATGTCTGATAAAGTAAATTAAAGATATAAAACTATGAGTTGTGCCCAGTATTTTTTCTATAGCTTTTTAAAGGATGTGGCATGGTTGCTTAGTAATTGCCTACAGTGTACAGCAGCCTTCATCCTGTCTTTCTTTTGCATGCCTTTGTACCATATGGCTTGTCTTCAGCAAAAGAGGAGTGCTGGAAAAAAGTTGCCTGCATAGGTTTAAAATTTGTATAATGTATATGACAGTTTTCAGGCATGTGCTAACATAGTTGAATAAGGCACTGTGCTGCAAGCTGGAAGGTTGCAGGTTCAAATCCCAATGAGTTCATTGAATTTTTTTAATTTACTTAATCCTTCCAGCCCCAATATGGCCCTGGACTTGACTCAGCCTCTAACAGAAATGAGTACAGGAAGATTCCTGGAGGCTAAACGGCAGCAGGCGCATAAGGCTGATAACCTTACTGCTATTTGTGAACTGATTGTCTGGAAGATGTGGGAGCCTCGATGTCTCACAACCCAATGGGCCTTCACCACCCATTACAGGGACAGCTTTACCTTTTTTTATATGTCAGTGTCATGATGACAGTCATGACTCATGACAGTCTTAAGAACAATATCATCAACTGCTCCTCATTCAGAAGGGAAAGTATTAGTAGCTCCCTGGTACAGCTTAAAGCAGGGAAAATAACCACATATCCTTGCTCAGATCACTTTAGTTTCTCTGGAATATAATTTATCAGGAAAGAATGGCTTTGAATGTGATCATCCTTTCATTTACAGACTGTAATTCTTCATGATCCAGAACACCGTGGAAAGTCCAGTGCTGATATTCAAGAAAAGGTCTCATTTTCACAGCCTTGTCAATGTTGTTTGCATGTAACAGACACACACAGACTGCTAGAGAATCTATCCAATTTTCATGCAAACTTTACAGACACTCAGTTGGGAACTCATGAGTCACAGTAGATGTTCATCTGATACTCCATTTCTTCCCAGACCTGTACCAGCATGTCTCTGGTAACAGACACACTACAGATATAGAATGTCTACTGGCAGTGGGGGTACAAACAGAGCACTCTTCACATAATCCACAAAAATAAGTCCCATTGCACATTTGTATCACAACTTGCTTTAGCATACTGAATGACATTGCTGTCTCCTGTGTAGATGCCATTTTCATAACACTTGCACCTCAAGTAGGCAGCTGGTATTAGAAAAAAGCTTGGTCAGCTTAGCTACCTATCAATGCATATGGCATCACTGTGACACGAATGATTATTGTATTTTTAGTCTCTGGAAGTGTTTACTTCATATTTGAGTTACCTGTATAGTATGTATATTGTATGTCAGAACTGTTTTGCCTAAGAAAACCAACTTAGGAACAGTGACTTGGTTCATCCTGGTCCATCACACTAGTAATACACTCAACTCTCGATTATCCGGGGGCGGATAAACCGGTTTGCGGCTTAACCGGAGCTACTGGCGCTTTTTGGAGGCTTATATGTTGTTTAATATTCATTCACATGGTGAGTTGTAACACTATTTTCGCACTAGTGTGAACCGAGCTCTGCATTTTTGGTCCCGTTATGCTAACACAATGTTCTCGGGTAGGGGTGAAAGAATGCAAGGATTTGTGGGAGGTTTCAAGGACANATAGATCTTCAAGTGCGTTAGCAAAATGTCGGGGTTTAAAAGGAAGCGTGTTGTGTTAAGTATTCAACAGAAACTTGAAATTATCAATCAGCTGGAAAAAGGAGCTGTAGTTAAACAATTAGCAATGCAATACGGTATTGGAGAACAAACTGTTCGTGATTGAAAAAACAAAAGAATCAATTAATTTCCTTTGCTTCGTCTTCCAATTCAAGCAGAATGAAGAAGAGAAAAACCATGAAAAAATCAACAATTGATGATCTCGACAAAGCAATGCTGATCTGGTTTAATCAACAATTGGTGATCTCGACAAAGCAATGCTGATCTGGTTTAATCAACTAAGGGCACAGGGAACAACAATAACAGGAGCAGTTTGTGCTAAACAAGCGAAATTTTTTCCGAAGCACTTAAACTACAAGGAAATTTTGACGCTTCTTCTGGTTGGCTGACACATTTCAAGCAGCATCATGGAATATGAGAACTTAGTATTCAAGGTGAGAAATTGTCAGGGGACCTGTCATCATCAGTTCAATTTTGCACCAATTTTGATAGTTTCGTGAAAAGTGAAAATCTGCTGCGAGAACAAATCTATAAGGCTGGTGAAGCGGGTCTTTATTGGAAATGCTTGCCAACCAGAACATTGGCATTTTAAAATGAAAGACAGGCTCCAGGTCACAAATCCAGTAAGGAGAGATTGACAGCCTTGTGCTGTTCTAATGCATCAGGAACACACAAATTAACCCCAGTAGTTATCGGCAAAGCGAAAAGACCACGCTCTTTTAAAGGAACAGTAGCTTCAAGTCTGCCTATCCATTATTTTAATCAGAAAGGAGCTTGGATGAATAGAGCGATATTTAAAGAATGGTTTGATTTTAAATTTGTGCCTCATGTTTGTGACCATCTAAAATCCCAAGGCCTACCTGAGAAAGCTGTGCCCCTCATTGACAGTGTGCCCTCACATCCTAAAGAAAGTCTCCTGAGGTCAGATGATGGAAATATTTTCCTTCCAATGTTATCGCACCTATCCAACCAGTGCATCAAGGAGTTATCTCAAGAATGAAGAAAATCTACAGATCAAATTTGCTACAAAAGTACATCGATGAAGGCAATGATCTGACATGTTTCTGGAAGTCTTTTCCAATGTTAAATGCCATATACGAGATTTTAACAGCGTGGGATACAGTAAAGCCATCTGTATTGAAAAATTCATGGAAGAAACTGATGCCTTTCATCACGAATGAAGATGACGAAGTTCATGGATTCACTGGATTCAGTGAAAATGTGATAGCCATAGAATTGACAAAATTGGCTAACCAAGTTCATGGTGGTGAAGAAGTCAACGAGGAAAATATAAGAGAGTGGTTTGACTGTGACTCGTGTGAGCCGGGCTTCGAAATGTTAAGCAGTGACAGAATCATAAGTTCAGTGGGGGTACAGCCAGAAGAGCGGGAAGAAAGTGAGAATGAGGAAGAGGTGGACAGTGCTGCTAGTAAGAAAATATCGCATGGTGCTGCTCTTAATCATTTGGAATCCTTACTAGACTATCTTGAGAGTGAAGAGATCAGTTTATTAAGTGAATAGCAAATATTACATAGGCTTTGTNACTGTGACTCGTGTGAGCCGGGCTTCGAAATGTTAAGCAGTGACAGAATCGTAACTTCAATGGGGGTGCAGCCAGAAGAGCGGGAAGAAAGTGAGAATGAGGAAGAGGTGGACAGTGTTGCCAGTANGATTAATCGTGATTTCCATCCCCACCGTTATCCCGGATAATCGAGAGTTGAGTGTAGTATAAAAGATTATTAATGCTATCCAGTGTGATTGATAAATGTTCTTTCTTTCTTTAATCTTTCATCCTTTACATGTTTCGGTCTGAGCGACCATCTTCAGAAGGACATATCAATACACGTGGAAACTACTACTACAATGTCATTGGTCATTATCTATATATACACTCTTATTACAAAGTCATGAATATAAAATATATGAGCTTTTAACAATTACAGCGATGTGCATGAACTTATTAAAATATTTATAAATTATTATAATTAGTCTATTTATAAGTATGGTTAAAATCTAGAACCAATTTGGTTTGTGTCCGTTATACTGCTTCTCTTTAAAAGAAGTGGTTCCATTTGAAGAATAGGACGCTTCATCCAGTTGTTTCGGCACATTGCCCTATAGCAGTCAGGAAATAAATTGTGATCATATCACAGGTCGTTTAGCCATGTCTCAGTTAAATAACGTATATTCCGTAGAGCAGACATTTTCAAAAGTTTGAGACGCTTAGCCCTAAGATCTCTGATTTTTTGGTAATATATGTCTTTCAGGATGGGTGTGAGACCTGGCAGAACTACCTGTGTTCATGTCAGGCGTGCTAACCGTTAACTGAGTCCAGAAGCGCCTTCCCTCCGGGCAACGACATTGTTTACTTTGTTTACAGAATCGCCTAAAAGGGCGATGACACACGGAGCGGTTGTGTCGACTCGGCGGCCGCGGCAGAAGCTGCTGAGAAGGCTGAGAATGTATTCAATCTACGGAGCTACGGAGCAAGTCTTCAAACCGCTCGCTGCACCGCCTGNTGCCGAGGGGGGGGGGGGGGGGGGAAGTAGGTGGACGAAGCCGAGACGTGTCTGGTGCTGCTTAATTAGTATATATATGGTCAGGACTTAATCGTCCGTAGCAAGGTGCGCTTAAACAGCCGTTAGGCCAGACTCCAGTATTATTAATAAAATGGAAATCATCTTCTGCAACAGAGACATGAAACGAGGCGTACGAAGTATGATTAGTTTTTAATCTGGTGCAGGAAGCAAGCTGCAATTGATCCTTTAAAGATTTCTCAGTATCAGATGCTGTTACATCAGGGGAAAACAGAGAGACAAAAAGAGACTTATTGCGGACCCTCTTCTGCACAACAGAGATAGAAAAAGAGCTCACCCCGATCACACAAACCCTGGGTTTCTTGGCAACACCAGCAGTCGTAACGGAAGGTGCATGCGGGGCACATGACGTCACGGTCAGTCGCGGAAATGGTTAATTCAAGATGGCAGGGAACCTGCAGATGTTTTTATTCTTGTTTAAATCAAAATACCGCCGAAAATATTACATTCGGCACTTATTATTGTGTATTGGTGTAGTGTATTTTTTCATAGTTAGCGTGATTTCTAATACAAACTGTACAAGTGTGCAGTGCGTGAACGGAAAGTGTGAAAATGGCACAAGCTGTGTTTGTTTTGATGGTTGGCAAGGACAGTATTGTCAATTTTGTGGTGGTAAAGTTAGGTATGGATTGTAATTCGGATGATTTCGAACGTTGTTCAGAAATACTGTGAATATGATAGCTAAATGAAAGATACAGTTTTGTGTCATAAGGAGATTGAATATTAGGTTATGTTATAAATTTTATTTCTGAGGGTTGTATCCATGTGATTTTTTTTTGTTCGTGGTGATAGGTTGACAGAGAAGTCTGGAATCATCCACGACGGTCATGGTAATTATTCCATTGACGTCAAATGCAGTTGGTTGGTGGATGCAGGACGTGCACCAAATGCAACAATTCGCTTGCACTTGGAAGAATTTGCCACTGAATGTGGTTGGGACCATCTTTATATCTTTGATGGAGATAGTGTGCACTCCCCTCTCCTTGCAGTGTTTAGGTTAGCATGATCTTCATATCAATTGTGGGATTTTATTTTGTGACAGTAGTTTAGTATAGTGCAGTTTGAAATGGTATGTTGAAATCTTGTTATGCACTAACTGGAATGTTTGAAGTTAAGTTCTTATTCACTCAGAGATTTTAAAGAGAACTGGAGAAATGGTTAACAGAGTGTTTGGAATCCACTGTTAGACAAACCGTTTTCAATAAGATACTGGACGCATGTTTATTGTATCTTATTTCGGCAAAAATTTATTTTAAAACTAAGGATGTTTGATGTTGTGTATAAAGTAAAGGTATTGCAAGCTGTATAAAGTCAAAGTAACACTGTGAATGACCGTCAGTCAGTCAGTAAGTCTTGGTTCCAAGCCTCATATGGGGCTCATGACCAGATATTTATTACTGTTTGACATATGTCATGGTTCATTGATTTAATAGATTTCAGTAGCACACTTGAATATCTTACATGATTCTATTCACAGAATCATTTTGGCCTCAGAGCTTAATTGATGGGACCTCAAACCAAAACTCAACTCCACTGATGTAAGATGTGCATATAACTGGTTGTATGGGAGTACAGTTAGACAGATGGATTCTCATGGCAGATGCAGCATCCAGAATTTTGAAATTTTGTTTTGTGATTTGCATGCTCTACATTTCCACTCTATCTTCATTCAGGTTGTCTTAGAAATGAACCCAGGGGAGATCATTTGATCATTGCTTCAATGTAGAATCAAAATAGGAGTTTGGCTGTATAGATCTAGAACATAATTTAGAACCCACAAAAAGTATTCTAAAGAAGGAACATAAAAAGAATATGAACACCAATCACTTATGAATAGTTCGATCTTCTGGGATATAACACAGTGCAGTCTGTTGAGGTTCTGCTGATGTTTTGGAGGAACATGTGGTGTGCGTTTTCATGGTCGAAGAGTAAGGCAAGCAAGTAACCATCATGAAGCAGGTAACAAGCAGATCCACGCTTCATGTTAGTTTCTTGTAAACTCAACTTTATCCCTGCCTTCAGAAAATCAATTACACCATTCGAAGACAGGGGCTCCAGATATAATCTCTTCTCCATATACTTGTTTAATATTTTAAAGACTGTGCTTTTTTCTAGTTTTGAACTAATTTTTTTTCAGAGGGTTTATTATCCATTTTTGTGATGAGCTATCCAAACAGCTTCACAAGATCTCTGTATCAACTAGACTTGTCAAAACAAGTTTTGCAAATTTATGCAAGTCAGCCTGTAGGTGGCAGCAATCACCATTAACCACAGAATGACTTAGATTTTACAGTGTTGCCAGTCTTGTCATTTAATTGTCAAATGCTCTGTGTGTTGTCCTGTTGATATCACTGGACCTCATTCAGCTTCCATTCCAGTGTGTGGGTAAGGAAAGAATGAGCTGAGTGATGGTGTTTAAACAAACCACCCACTCTCCCATTCTATGTACAGTACACACTACCTGATGGTCAGCAGACCAGGTTCACCTCACTACCTTTAGAAGAGGGAATAATTTTATTTCATTATTTGCCATTTTCTTTGACCAGATATGATACATTTTAAGATAAACATTTTAGTTACAAAGAATGCCATCTTCTGGGATGAGGTACCATGTACATCTTGTGTGAACCAATGTTTCAGAGGAACGTATCGCCTCCATCTTGAGGGTAGGAAAATCCGCGAGCCACCAACCTAAAACACCCAGCTATATGAGAACAGGAAGGGAGGGAGAGTGGGCCACATGGGAAATCAATAGAGAGGAGAGGCGGAGGGTGTGTAGAGATGGGCAAGCAGGTAGCAGGCCAGAGCTGATATAGGATCGTGTCGAGGGGAAAAATGGAGGACTACCAAGGGAGCGCTGATCTAATAGCATTGGCGCTAAGCTGCTGAGCAGGTCAATGCATGCTTGGCAACTTAGCCCTGAAGCTATTGGGTCAATGCTCGCTCGGTAATCCCCTCCCCCCATACTGGCCCAGGCCTGCTACCTGCTTGCCCATCTCTGCAGGTCCCTCCCCTCTCCTCTCTATTGATTTCACATATGGCCCACTCTTCCACCCTTCCTGTTCTTATATAGCTGGGTGTTTCTGACTGGTGGTACAGACTGCAGCCACCTACCCTTGCTGGCTCCTCGCTCTTGCATTTTTCTACCCTGAAGATAGAGGGGATACGTTCCTCCGAAATGTTGGTCCACACAAGATCCACATCCCAGAAGACAGCATTCTTCATAGCCATTGCAATGAAAACCTCAAATCTTACAAGATTGTAGTTAGTTTTTCATAACACACCTGCCTTTAACTTTGTTATTATTGAATGTTTTTATGATTCATGTCATTATTTTAATAAATTAAATGCTTGTAGTAAATATGATAATCAGTTTACTTCAATAAAATGAAGTGGAATGATACGTTACTGGAAATGTTCCGCGATTTAATTTTGAACTCACTCTTTCCAAACAATGGGACAGCTTAGATATTAAACTTATTAAAGACTTGCAATTAATGAATTGAGAAGTACATAATAATGTTACTAAAAAGTTTAAAAGTAAATAAGTTGAAATAAGCAAAGAATCGTTCACAGGAAAATATGCAGATGTAATAGCAGATGAACTAAGAATGCAGATAGCTTGTAGTTGGAAGGAAAGCCAGAACACAGGTAATAAAAGGGGGTAATGGGCGAAAGCATGCAGAGGAGTAGCTGCCGCACAGAAGGTTGGGGGAGTATGTGTGCATTCTTTTCCTGACCTGGTTTTAGTTTGGTGTGTGAGCATTATAAATTTGGCTACACAGACAGGTGGAGTAGTATGTTTGTTCCTGCTTTCCTTGCTCAGTTTTTGTTTCATATTGTGACGTGTTGCGCAATGGAGGACACCCCCTCCCTCCCCATCAGTACGTGGCGGCATCGTAGCGCTGTCATTACTATGGTAATAGGCAAGTCAACACCCCACCCCTCTCACCACGGTGACATAACACGCAATGCTGTAATTGCTACGTACCCATAAACAACTCCCAACAGCGTTGCTAGGCTATCGGCAAACACGGCATCGGGCAACAGTGGTACCCATTATGTAACAGGCAAACACTGCGACTATATAAGGGAACTACACAGCCGTCAAAGACAGTTCTCAAGGCAGCAGCCTACGAAGCGAGTTGGACTATAGCAGCCGTCGCGGAAAGAAGAACCGGACGCGTGTGTGATAATCAGTGATAGTTTGTGATAACAGTAATAATCGGGAGTGTGTGATACAGTGACACTTGTATAGCTCCCGTATCGTAATTAATACGTGTAAACAACTGAGGACAGAGTGAATAGGTTAGTGCATAGGGTTTGTAAAGTGTGGAAACCCGTAACATTGTTATAATTAATTGTAGCCGATATTTGTAGGTTGTTAAATAAACCAATTAACAATCCAAATGGCGTCTTCAGTAACAAAACACGTTACATTGGTTTCAGAAGTGGGATTGGACTTACACATGTGACCGACAGGATTCGAACTCAAGACACGTTACATTGGTGTCAGAATTGTCTATGAACTTACACACACCACAAACGAATTGTTGTGCATCGAGTATTTTACTGCTACAAAATGGATATGCAGCAGATGATGGAAATGCTGCTTGAGGAAATCAGAGCCAACCAAGAAAAGGAGGAGGCCAATAGGAGGAAAGACAAAGATTTCATGGCTAAATTAGACACCAACCAGGTGAAGGCATTGGCGAAAATGGATGCCGACTCCAAAGCCTGGCGAGAAGAGATGGCTGCAGAAAGAGAAGCCTTCCGAGCAGAAATGAGAGCCATCGAAGCAAGGACGACCTCCATGCGAGAGAAGAGGTTGCAAGCCAATATGGATGCCTGGCAGAATGAGATGATGGCCTGCCGAGAAATGACGGAGGCGCATCTAGAAAAAGAAGTAAAGATGATAGCCTACCAAGAGATGGAGTTATGTCTAGAAGAGGAAAAGCCGGCCACAGTGGACATGAAACCTGCGGCGGCACAACAAGGAGAGGTCCCAATAGTGATACTGGTCGGAGTTACGATGGCCTGCCGAGAAATGGAGGCACGTCCAGAAGATGAAAAGCCGGCCTCAGTGGACAGGAAACCTGAGACGGCAGAACAACGAGAGGTACCCATAAAAGACGCCGAAGTAATGCCAGTCGCAGAACCGAAGGAGAAAAGGCGTAGGGACTGAAAGAAGCAGAATATGAAGAATTGGACACGGGAAAACTGTGAACCCCGGATGAAGTTGGCTGCCCCCTGCAGGAAGGTGTCCCGCCATGCAACAGTGGCATGGCGTCGGAGGAAGATCTTCAATAAATCTTGGACCCAAGGAAATTATGAATCCCGGATGAAGTTGGCTGCCACCTACAGGAAAACATCCCGTCACGCAACAGTGGCACGACGGAGAAATGCCTTCAAGAAGGAAACTCCCCAGGGAACCTTCGGATGCCGCAGAGAGGACTTGGCGCCACGGTCTCGTGCCAGCAAGTGGCGGGAAGACCAGGAGGAACGACGACGTCGACAAGTGCAAACAACACTTCAAGTACTGTTACGTTGACAAGAGGAACTTCCGAAGAAAGACTTGATCAAGGACTGGACATTGTGGGGGTGTTGACCCCCTCCAAAACGAAAAAGAAGCAGAGCACAGAAGAGGAGCTGGTAAAATAGAAGCACCGGCCTCCCCAGAGAGAGTGAATGTGCAATGGGAGAAAGTGAAGGAGTGAATGTGATACAACGGGATCTTCTAGGCAAGTTGATAGGAAACTGCTCGAGACGAGCAGGTCTTAAGAGGGGAGTGGTTGTAATGGCCGGATAATAGTCACTGCAAGGAGTAGCCGAAACAACAGGAGACTCACCAAGCACATCCTTGGAAGAAAAGGAACGGGGGTGCACCATTAGGCTGTTCGGGACGAACAGCCTTAAGGAGGGAGCAGTCTGATGTGTTGCACAATGGAGGACACCCCCTCCCTCCCCAGCGGTACGTGGCGGCATCGTAGCGCTGTCGTTACTATTGTAATAGGCAAGTCAACACCCCGCCCCTCTCCCCGTGGTGATGTAACACGCAACGCTGCAATTGCTATGTACCTGTAAACAACTCCCAACAGCGTTGCTAGGCTATCAGCAAACACGGCGTCAGGCAACAGCGGTACCCATTACATAACAGGCAAACACTGCGACTATATAAGGGAACTACACAGCCGCCGAAGACAGTTCTCAAGGCAGCAGCCTACAAAGCGAGTTGGAATATAGCAGCCGTCACGGAAAGAAGAACTGGACGCGTGTGTGATAATCAGTGATAGGTTGTGATAACTGAGTAATAATCGGGAGTGTGTGATACAGTGACACTTGTATAGCTCCCGTATTGTAATTAATACGTGTAGACTACTGAGGACAGAGTGAATTGATTAGTGCCTAGGGTTTGTAAAGTGTGGAAACCCGTAACATTGCTTTAATTAATTGTAGCCGATACTTGTAGGTTGTTAAATCAATTAACAATCTGAATGGCGTCTTCAGTAACAAAACACATTACAATATATATAGATTTCAAAGCTGATAATTGTTATGTATTTAAAGCACTACAATTCATCAAAAGTGCAGGATTTCTAGAGGGGTAAGTCTTAGAAAGGGGGTGCAGAATAGATCAAAGACTCATATTGCACGGGTTATCCACCCTTTTAATCTAATCTGTATGAATAAGTTCCATTAACAGTTAATCCTTTGAAGCTTGAAGGTCATCTAAATAATATTTTAAAATTGCCTCTGCCTTGCAGAAAACATACTGCATTTCCATTGCAAAATCCATTTCTTTAATTCTGTTCATGGAAATAATCACTGTTGATAGAATCCTACAATACATGTAAATATACTGTGTGAACAGGCTACTGAGTTTGAGAATGTTAAAGTGGGTGTTTCTTCTCATGATTCCTGTGTTTCAAAGAGTTAAATAGAACTTTTTATTCAATGTTTATATTAAATGTTTGTGTGTATGTTGTGTTAATATTGATGTGGTTGTTTGTGTAGTGGGTTGATGTACAAGGATGGCTACAGAATCAGGAGAATTCCTGAAGTAGTGGCACATTCTGGTTCAGCATTGCTGCATTTCTACAGTGATGTTGCATATAACATGACAGGTTTCAACATATCCTACAGGTGGGTAGTGTACGAGTTGTTAATGATGGCTTCAAATGAAGAGTTATATTTTAATCCTTTCATGGTCATTTGCAGATCTCAGCATCTAGGTGTGATTTGTCTCACATTATGATTTTGCTTGCTATCAGACTAAAATAATTCCTTCACTTCTGTTTTGTGTACGAGAAAGTCATCTAATTATAGTACTAGATTTCAGCATCATTTTGGCTACATTTTAAACTTCTATTGCAAAGTCTTTGTCATGAAGTAGTTATAATTTTCCCCCAGAACAACAGAATATGCAACCAGATTGTTGACATTTCTATTTATTTAATTATATTGTAATGGGTACAGCCATTGCTATGCAATAGGCGGATAAAGAGTACCTGTCTGAGGTCCATGCTGAGATGTTATAAGCAGGACAGTTTGAAGCAACGAGTTAGTTGTTGGAATAGTTGTCAGCGTATCAGTTGAGTGAAGTGACAAAGTTGGTGAGTGACGGAGTTCAGCTGTCAGTTGTCAGCTGGAAGACAGTCTGTGAAGAGAAGACTAGGTTTGTGTAAAATGGTTGCCAGTATGGGACCCAGTTAGTTGAATTGTCAGTTGACAAATAGATCTGCACGGGCAGTTCTGAGAAGAGAACCTGAGTTTGGGAAGCTGAAGAATATCCCCCCCCCTTTTTTAATTCGCTTAGGGGGGGGGGTGGAGTCCAACTGGGTGCACTTGGCATGGCGGCCACTGATTGGCCTATTGTAGCCTGCCCCGGGTGATTATGATGATGGAGAACTTGGTGGAATGAAGATTGGCCGGGAAAACCGAAGTACTCAGAGAAAACCTGCCCCAGCGTCCTTTGTCCACCACAAATCCCACTTGACCAGACCTGGGATCGAACCTGGTCCGCCACTGTAGGAAGCCAGCGACGACTATTTTTTTATTGCTAGTGGGGTTGAACTAAGTCCCTTGTACTGCAGCCACTTCTGGCCTCTTGTATCAGCCACAGATGATAGGTGAGGGTGATTGAGCAGTTGGTGAAATGAAGATTGGCAGGGGAAACCGAAGTACTTGGAGGAAACCTGCCTCAGTGCCACTTTGTCCACCACAAATCCCACTTGACCAGACACGGGATCGAACCCGGGCTGCCACGGTGGGAAGCCAGCAACTAACCGCTTGAGCTATGGTGCGGCCTGACCTAAAGGTTAGTCATCCAGAATCTCCCTTGGTAAAAAGTGTTGCTAGGAAACAACTACTGGAGACTGCAGTAGGCCGAGGACAGTACTCTGTCAGTGAACTGTAAAGTGTAGTTCCGAATGATGTATACAAGTAGTCAATGAATCTAATATCCAATCCATACCTCATCTATAGTCACGCAACCCCTAAATCATGACAGTATTTTTAGTTCTGAGTAGAGGAATGGGTAATTTGAATGGAAACTTTGCTTCATGTTGTCATGAGAAAGACCATACTGAGGTGTGGGGGTCAAACAATTTTTTAAAATCAGATAGACAAGTATTTGCTAGAAAAAGGTGAATCAGTGTTTTCTACCGCTATAATGTGGCCCTCAGTTCTGCTTGGCATGCAGATCCCATTCATACTGCTGTTCTACTGTTTGTCCTACACACCTGCAGGCAAGGTTCATGATAATGCCAAAGAATCAGATTTAAAAGTCAGATTGTTTCTACTCACCAATTATTCTTCTGTTGATTTTAACCTTGTGTGATGTGGTTTGTCATTTGCTTTCTGCCACATATGACTGTCAGAAGTAAAATACCAACTACTGAATGCTGAATAGGCAATTACTAGACAAAAATATTTGCTCACCACAGGTAACCATATGACCACTATTTTACTCCTGTCAAGATAGGCTATTAGTGTAGATGTGAAAAGCTATGGCATATGGCCCAAAAACCAAATGTTGGATGATAAGTGTTTAAGTGAACAGTGGTGAACAGTGCCCTTGGGGTACAAGGCAACATCCCATTGTAAGTTAGCCTTCCCTCCACATGCAGATTCCACTGCACCAACCTATGATCTTTCAGGGGCTGTAGTGAGGGTCCAGTAATGAGGCTTTCTTGTGGAGGGGCAAGCGACCTGACAATTGAAAAGTAAAATAGATTGACTAGCAGAAGAAGCAGCCGAGAAGAATAAGGTTCCTCTTAAGGAACTGAGGACTGAGCTGGAACTTGGTTGCGTGTCCATGTGGGTCATTGCTAGGGAGGTCTTGACTCTGGCAGCAAATGACAGAAGTGGATTTGAGGTTGCCTATCATCAGTATCCTGGAAGAAGAAAAATCCCCCCCCCCACCATCTGTGGATCTGGCTGTGTTGTCTCCTGTTGCTATGAAGAGGTTTCTCTGCGTTAGACAACTTGTTTACTGGGTCTTCTGCTGCTATGGAAACTGCCATATCCCTCAGGAGCTTTGGTGAAGGGTTCACTAGGGGAAGATTTAAAGAGATCTCTTGATGGGAATGGATAATCCAACCATCAGGAAGAATAAGTGGAAAGCCTAGCAGAGGAAGTGGAGTGGGGAAAGCCTCAGCTGGGCGTGGTTGTGAGTCCAGCTGATACCAATTGTGGGGGCTCTTCTGAGTCACATAGCAGGGGTGACTGGAGGGCCCCTACCATTGGTGCTCCAGGTAGGAGCTTTCTCTCCTTGCATTCTAATCTTTTCCTACTGTGAAGAGGTAGTCAGAATCTCCAAGGGGTTCTGGTGAGGAGTCAACTGGGCGTGAGACTAAAAGACGGCGCTTCATGTGAATGAGTAATCCGGCCATCAGCAAGAAGAACTGGCTAGCAGATGAGGTGGGCTGAGAGGAGTCCTAGGGGTGACTCTCAGATGGTGCTTGATCACAGTTCTAGCTGGGACCAGGTGAGGGTTTTGCTGTTGCTGTTGCAAGACAGAGGGCAGTTGGAGAGTTCCCACCTCCAGTACTTTGATGGGGGAGTTTTATCTCCTTGCTTTCAAGGGCTCATGTGCTGAGTCATCTGCTGTCTTTGAGTTGCAGTCAAATTTCTCAGGGGCTCCGGTGAGGGTCTGCTGAGGGAATTCTGTAAGAGGTCTCTTGCTGTGGTTGAATAATCTGAATATAAGAAGAAGAACTGGACAGGCTAGGGAAGAAGTGGGCTAGCAGGGGAGGATCTCTGACACCTTGGCTGGATCTGGGTTATGGGTCCAACTAGGGCCAGCTGTCTCTGTCATTGAATGCCAGTGAATAGCTGTGGATATCCTGCCTGCAGCAATCCAAGAAAATATCTACTGTCACTGGATGGCTAAGTTGTTGACCAATGCTTTCTGGAAGAAGCAGCTGTCCACTATCAGGACTTTCATGAGAGGCCCACATTTCTTGATGGTGGTGAATAGTCTGTCTGTCAAAAAGGAAAGATATCTGATTTGGCAGAAAAGATTGGTCAAGAAGAGGTTCCTGCTGTGGAGACTGACGATTTGGGTAGGGCTCAGATGAGGATCCAGCTGGGACCATTGGTTGGGTCTGTGATGTCCCTGTTGGTGAATGGCCGAGGGCTTCTGGGATATCCTACTGCCAGCAGCCCAAAGAAAAATGAAATTTTGTCAGTTGATCTGTAAGGTTAAAATTCACACCAGTGATCCCCAATAATTTTGTCTGCATATAGACTTGACCTTGATAGAAGAACATCATGTAAAATATTGTGTGAAGTTGATAGCTATTACTCTTCCTGTAAGTAGGTACTGCATTGCTGAGGTATTTTTTCTTTGTTCTGGATAGAGTAATAAGTTCAGGGATGTGGGAACCACCCACTGTGAATTGAGAGCTAGCCAATCACAGGTTAGGAACCAGCCAGTGCTAAGCAACGGCTGTTTACCCAGCCTGCAGTTTTATTTATGGGAATAAACGCAAACCATATTCTTTGTTAGGAATATTCTAAAACTAAATAAATCGATATTCATCTATTACTGGGGAAACACACCTGGCTTTGAATCTGGTTTGTTGCATTACACTTTTCCCCCTATATGTGTTCTTGGGATGGGGCTTAGGCACAGAGATATCCTTACTTGTAACCTGTTAAATTCGTATCAGTGCTATACTGTGTCTTAAACATCTTTGAGCATGCATCATCATCATCATCATCAAAAGTGATGGAGACCTCTTTGAAGACACATGACTGTTTGTTTATAAAGTTGCCTACACAAGGTTTACATATGCTCAGAGATGTTTTATACAAAGTATATTCCTAGTTATTATGTACAGTTTAACTTACATTTTAAATGTTATTTGGCTTACCTAAAAGATCCTCACATTGTGTATTGCTCATCAGATTCAATTCATGCCCAAGCCAGTTCTCGCATGTCAACTGTTCAGGCAATGGGGTATGCATTGATGGTGTGTGCACATGTGATGCTTCCTACATGGGTGAGGCGTGTCATGTTCCCGTGTGTCCAAACAATTGCAGCAATGACCATGGAGTCTGCAATCATGAAATGCACCGCTGTGACTGTAAAGAAGGGCATAAAGGTGTGTAGTTTCTGTCATTTTCTCCATATTGTCTACAATGTATCATCAGATATAAAATTCTTTATTAGGATCTGTCATAACACAACGATGAAACGGTCTAGGTCTATATCACCGTAGCTATATGTTAGTAAAAAAAAAAAAAGTAAAGCTATCCCTGTACCAGGGCATGAAGGCCTATAGGGTTGTAAGACGTTGAGGGTCCCACATCATCTAGACAATCGGCTCAAAGATGGCAGTAAGGTTGTCAGCCTTACCCGCCGGCTGTGCTTTACTCCCCAGGAAAATTATTTCAGCTTTTAAAGCCATCATCAGACAAATACATGGTTACTACATTCACACACTGTTGAACTGCATTTCAGTGTGGTGGTACAATAGTGCTGGATACTTGATAACTCTTACACTATAATAATACAAGGTAAAGAAATACAATAAAATTATAAAATTGTTATAAAACGGAAGTTATACAATAAAATATGGTTAAAAACTATTCATGTAATGTTTCATACTATGAAGTCAGTTGTTGCGATCTTGTTATATTCTAGCGGACATATAGCGGTATATTCATAACTTGTATACATATAGTTAACTGCTTGGAGGTCCGTGATATTGGTGTAGTAGTATTTGGGAAATGATGTGATGATAATAATAGCTCTTAGATTTACTGTGACAAACTATTGATTTGGTATTGATAATATGGTTGTACTGTTTACTTACTATTTTACCGGTGCCTCATTTTACAGTGTATTCAGTGCATTTTGTCCGCTCTGGTTGGAATACAGATTGCAACTGATTTAGTCGTATATGATTTTTGTGAAGTCCTCCATCCTTACTAATTAACTATTCAAGGCCATTTTCCTTGTCTTAATTATCAGAACATAATCTTTCATCATTTAGTAGCCTTATGAATGATAAATCGTAAATAATTTCAACTTTATATTCTTGTGAAAATGAAATGAACTGTAACATGTCATGCTTGAACTAATGTTGGCATGTGCTTGTGATACAGGAGAAGATTGTAGCCAGTTGGCTGATTTTGGCTACTGGGAGGTAGTGCATTGGAAAGATTTTGTGCCAGAGGGTTCTGCATCTCATGGAGCGGTTGTATGGCGAGATTCCCTGTACATTGTAGGTGGAGAATCGTATCACAGAGCAAAGATGATCTATGTGTACGATTTTAATGGTAATTGTACTTAAATAAATTTGAAATTGGAGAACGTTGTACAGTAGTGTATATTTATGCTGTTTACTCAAATTCGGGATAATCTTGACTCTAAGATTATTCCCTTTGTTTGACACTTATATGTAAAGAAATGAGTAATAATTTTTATGAAACAGTGGGTCATAATATAGGTCAGTTATAAATTTTTTCATATATGAACACTTATTTTATATTTGATTAATTTGCTCCCATAGTTTATATACTTTTGTTTATGACAGGCATGGACATTTTGATAATAACTTTGCTTTAATACTTGATCTGAAGACAAGAGTTTCTCTGGAGAATTTTTGACTCCTGGCTTCTAAAATATCTCATTTTTCCAATATGTAAGCTCTTGAGTGTGGTTCAGTGCTTTTGGTAAAACTTAACGTGCAACTCATTCTAATATTACTGGTATGCCAGTGATGCATATACTGTAATTCCTAGTCTTTTCTAGCATTTGTACTTAAGGTAAATGTTGCTATTTCAGCTTCTAACGTAAGGGAAGAACCTTGTCACAGAGTTGAATAAATGCACCGTGTTTGCTGTTGTCCTCAAAGTACTTGAGATTATTCTCTGATTTTATGAGCTAGAGGAATTTCTTAAATAGACCACGGTCAATTGTCTTAAGCCCAGCATACTCAAGGATTGTGGAATGTTGGTATGAAACAGTATAAATGTTGGAGGCAGACTTATATAGGGACCATAGGTGTTCTGTCATTAACTTGTGCTAATGCATGGACTGCTGTTAACAGAATATTTTAATAGATAGCAGTATTCTGCAGAATCTCGTGCTTCTCTCTCTCTCTCTGTCTTCTCCCCCACCACTTGCCCACATATATATTTATGGTTCACACAACTCTTATTTTGAGCTTATTCAAGCTCCAACTTATGAGTTGTTTGAAATCCGGTTAAAAATACTGCTTATTGAAGTTCCAACATATGAGTTGTTTGAAATCCAGTTAAAAAATACTGACATGCCTGATAACACATAAACTACAATTTACATTTTTTGCATTCTTAATAAGGATAGAGCTGTTTCTGTACTTCTATGCATGTAGATCATATGGGCCTATGTACTCATCTTACAATTCAGAATCATGATATCTTTCATCATGTGGATTATTCTCACACCAGAAGTTGGGTGTAACAGAAATAACTGATGTAACAAGGTAATGCTCATAATACTTTTATTTTGCATCTGAAAATTCTATGTGAGGTTGTTTTCCATGCTGATAAATCATTCTTTCAAGTCTTAGATGTCCACTCATTTTGTTTTTGTTTTTGTCTTTGTTCCTCATAATATCCTCCCTAAATGTGACAACTTTTGTCATTGTAATATGTTCATACCAGCATAGCCTTTGAAATTTTTTCTGCATTTTACATCTAATTAAGGAAATTCACCACCTTTTGTGAAACCCAAAGGTTCATTACCATGTTGAAAAGAGCCTGCCCCTGGCCCCCTATCCTGAGCTAGATGAATGCGGTCCATGTTAGTTTATTTCTGTGAAATGTATTTTAATATTTTTCCCCCATAACCTGTGCTGATTCTTTACACTAAAGGTTTTTAGTCCCTCAACAGATCTTGAAACTGGTAGGACTGCCCCCTGTCATATTTCCATGACTTTATTCAGTATATTCAGAACTGTCAGCCATATCTTGAAGCTAGTTCCATCAACTGGTGGATATGCCATACTATGGTGAGAAGGAATGCATTCAACATCCAAATTATTTTTTTAGGAAGTTATCTTTTATTGTGAAACCTGAAGATTCATCACTGTCATCATAGAAGCCTGGCTTTGAATTCTGCCTCAGACCAGTTTAATTCACTTTTCTTATTCACATCTTGTTTCAATGTAGTATTTTCCTCCATTACATATCATCATCTTTCCACTTTCCTCTTTTATACATGTTCTGTAAACAAAATTTTGTATTTATGTCTTGTTTCCCCTCTGCGTGTTTCAAATGTGGAAGACTCATTCTGCTTGTAATTTCCATTACAGGAAATGTTTGGGAAACACCACATGTGGATTCCAAAATTGTGCCACGATCGAGGTATGGCCACTCAGCTGTTTTATTTGGGGTGAGTAACTGTGTTGTAGGTGTAGATTAAAGGGGTGGGCCATACTGGAGCCTACTGCATGACCATCCTAGATATACTTGGTGACATCTGTCTGAGGAGCCTTCTAGCTATTTTATGCTTTCTACTTTATTTAATTGGTTCTCTAGTTTCTCAACTTGGCTTCACAAAGTGAAATCCCAAGTGATGAAGTCTTAAACTAGCTAGCACCTGACAGTGACACAAGAGCTATGATAGGGCTGTTTACTAGTTCTGCTTTAAAGAGGTGCCCTCTTTAAATGACAGTGTCCTGTGAATAGTTCCATCACACATCTCAGCTGGCTTCTGTGACAGTGGATCAGTTCCATAAATTTATGTCAGACTGCTTGTACATGAAACCAGCATATTACATAACCAGTGTTGTAGTCCACACTAAAGTCACCTCTCTACAAGGTGTCTCTATGCACTGAGATATTTATCCCATTGGCAAACCAGTTTATAAATACCATCTTGGAAGAATGGTGTGCCCTGTGCATATAACCATGCCATTGTTGCTTCTGATTCTAATCTGATTCTAATTGATAGCCAATGAGGAATTTTTCAACGGCCCAGACAGGTTGTAGTCACTTGTGTAGGTTGGATGGTGCAGAACCTATTAAAGAAACTATTGTAAGCAGTTTGCTATTTGGTGAGATGCGTGGGTGAGCATTGTCGTGGAGCAAGATGATGCTGTTGGAGAGGTGACCTGGGCATTGCCCTTTGATCTGCTGTTTCAGTCAATTGCTGGACAATAAGAATCTGATTTGACAAATAGTTCCGTGCCCAGAGAAGTCAATAAGGAATACTTTTTCATTGTCCCAAAAGACTCCACATGATTGTGTTTGTAGGCAATGAATTGCTGCTTTATTAGGGATGTCACATGTTTCCACACCATTGATTCTAGCTTCTGTTCTGGAGTGTAACAGTAGTATTTAGGAATGCTGTGCCCTTTGCAGTGTATTGAGGTAACACTTTGAGACAGCACTCCAGCCACTCTATTTTGTACTTGCTTCTCAGACACTTTGGCACCCATTGTGTGACACTTTCTGATACTGAAAATGGTCTAGGCAGTGATGAAGTTGACACCACATGAAATTCCGATCTCTGAACAGTTTTACAGCTTCATCCATTGATCAGTATGAATAATCACATCAACACACTGCAGTCACCTTCGTGTTTGATGTTGCTGGCCTTTCTGTGTACAGGGATTCTGTGACACTCATGCAACATCTTTTGAACTCATGACACCAGTGACTAGCTCCCTGGCATGTAGTGGCATGCATTCCATACACAATCTTCCTGGGGGTAAAGGGTGGTCAGCGCTTAAGGCTGACAACCTTGCTGCCATCTGTGAGCCGATTCTCTGGAAAATGTGGGAGCCTTGATGTTCCATAACACTATGGGCCTCCACGACCTGTTACAGGGATAGCTTTACTTTTTTTTTGCCTTGTTTATCCAATCCATGACATACCAATTTAAGTACATCTACCTTACCCAGCAGAGGTTGTTAGCACAGAACAGTCATATCTGCTTTGCTCTGGTGTGAATTAATTTAAATGAATTTGGTAGTGTCTGTGGTTTCATTTTATCTTCCTTCATCTTTATTAAGGTGGGATCTGTTCTCATCCCTTTTCTAGTCATGTCATCCTTTTCCAGAGGAAGACTCTCAATCCACTGTGCAGTTTTCATAGGTGGAGAGCCCCTGGCAGCCTGAGTCTACAAGGGATTATGTATAATAATTCCTTCTCCCTTGGCATTTGTTCAGTAACTGCTACAAGGATACAGAATTCAAGAAGTTATTCAGTAAAAATGGAAAGAGAGACCACCTTCTATAGTTGGCATTCCGTTGCCAGCCGAAAGGAAGATAAGACCTAGGTTGACCAAAATGATGATAGGCCAAGATCATGTTGGGATTCTTAGGAACAGGCCTTAGTGAATTATCCATACAAAGTTTATGCTGTTGTTAATAAACTATGTTACTGCAATTGAGGAACTTATAATAATTCTAGTAAAACACTTCAAACACTGAAATAGAGAAAGTACTTACAGTTTTGATGCTGTTTTTTTTTTGTATATTGTATATTCTGTTTTCTCTCGATAGTAGAAGTATGTGGGAAATGATCCTGAAAGATCGATAAAGCCCTATCTTGGCACTGCAGTTATCTAATCTCTGCAGAGGGATTCTCTGTAGACATTGGCACTATGTTGTCAAATGTGATTGCTAAAAATTCGGTTCTCTAGGTTGCTGTGATAATTCATATTCTGATGTGGTTGATATTTATCAGACTGTGGTTCAGAAAACCTCAGACCACATTGCAGAAAAAAAAATTAAAGAAAAATATTTTTAGTTAATTTTCTCAAAGATGTAAACAAGTTTGACAATTTTATGATGATTAAAGAAAAATATTTTTAGTTAGTGTTCTCAAAGATGTAAACAAGTTTGACAGTTTTATGATGATTGTTCTTCACATTAATCCACCAAGTTGGCCTGCAATGAAACCGGCCCTTTCTGTGATTTGAAGGTTGTCGTCCTGGTGGTGATATCTTACATTTATTCAGATGTGGTTTTTCTTTCACTGTATTGCTTACAGTTTTATGATAGCACAGTAATTTGAAATATTATAGTTGAGCATAATGTTGTATTCTTTTGAATCTGTATACATGGACCAACAACAAGTTCATCAGCTAGCAATAAAAGCATGACAAAAGAAAAACACAACACAACATAACTTCAGTTAGGACAGTGAAATATCAGTACATACAAAACAATTCTCTAACATAATGTAATAGCCAATGGAACATTCACAGCAGCATATGATGTGAGACATTGCCTGAAGTGCAAGATATGGGTAGAAAAATCCTAGAATTAATATCTGGACATGTGAACCAGATGCTATAAGGGTGTCTTACTCCACTAGTGTGAACTAATATGTTTTATTATTCTGTAATTGTACACATATTTTCGATTTAAATTTTTAGAATTAAATCCTATAATGAAACCAATATGTTAGCCAATGTTAACAGCTTAAGCAATTAAAAGCAGGTTCGGTAGAATATACATATTGTTGCCCTTAAGGTTGAAACATGAAAGGTACTGAGATTAACCAGCACACAAACTTATGTTAAAAGGGCCGCACCATAGCTCAAGCAGTTAGTCGCTGGCTTCCCACTGCCGCGGCCCTGGTTCGATCCCAGGTCTGGTCAAGTGGGATTTGTGGTGGACAAAATGGCACTGGGGCAGATTTTCTCCGAGTATTTTGGTTTCCCCTGCCAATCCTCATTCCACCAATTGCTCCACAATCACCCTCACCTATCATCTGGGGCTGGTACAATAAGCCAGAAGTGGCCGCAGTACAAGGGACTTAGTCCCAACCCACTACCAGTAAAAGAAAATATATGTTATAAACGTTGTTTTTATTCCCATACGTGCACTACGTATTTTGTCTTGCAAAGTGATTATTGTCAGGTACAAGTAAGTAAAGTAACACCACATATACACGGTGCCAAATCCCAGAAGACTGCTTTCTTCAAGTAAAGTAAAGTTAAGGTATCCCTGTAACAGGCCATGGAGGCCCATAGGGTTGTGAAATGTTGAGGTTCCCACATGTTCTAGATAATCAGCTCATAGATGGTGGCAAAGTTGTCAGCCCTATGCACTGGCCGCTCTTTACCCCCAAGAATATTCCAAGAATATTCCTGGTACTCATTTCTGTCAGAGGCTGAGTCAACCCCAGGGCCATAGTGTGGCTGGAAGGATTAGGTCAATTGAAAATCCAATGACATCATCGGGACTTGAACCCGTGACCTTCCAGCTTGTAGCATAGTGCCTCAACCAACTATGCTACTGCATGCCCCCCATCAGGTACAAGTCTCAGATATATTAAAAGTCCACATTGTAATACAAAGAGCTGTAAAAATATGTACAAGAATGTATAAAAAGCTGAAAGCAATTGGATCCAATGTTATGATGGAATTCCACCTGTCTTGCGTATGTAGTCACATCATTCCTAAATTTATTTCATATTTTATATAGTTACAAGTGTATGGCTTCTTGTATAATTTTAGGCCTTTTATACCCACATTCCCCCCCCCCCCCCAACACTTCTGGGTGCTTCTCTTAGTCTAAACCAGCTCCTTGTTGTCTGTTGAGTTTGTGTAATGGCTGATCCCAGTACCATGAATGATGGCCTCAAAGGGAGTCAGTCATATAAAATTGAAGCATGTGGCTGCTGGTATTGAGATGTATGCAGTTTGTAATGCAGTCAGCTCCCCATTATCTGTCATGTATGGGGATTGGAGTCAGTCAGTTATGTGAATCTGTTGGTTGCTTGAGAAAAACTCTCACAGAAACTGAATGCAGTCAGGACAACATGATTTTGCTTTAGTTCTTGAATTGGAGTCTTCCTAGGCAACATAACATGATTGTATATATATTTATATATTGAAGAGTAGTAATTGGTAAATTTTGTGTTTCTTTCAGTTTTCTTCCTTTCTTTTTAGTTGAATACTTTGTGATAATTAACATATACAGATGCATGAATGTGTGTGTAAACTGACATACCCACACAAATATGCACAGACATGCACGCACGCACGCATGAATGCACACAACCTTCTCCAGTATCTGTTTGATGGATATATACATGCTTCACAGTTGAAAATATACCACTGTCTTGCCAGCTGTTGATTTGGTAATCACAGTTATCAAGTACACATGGTTTTCCATTTGTACCAAATTCTGCCAGCCATGCTGTTTGCTTTTATATATCCAGAGTTTTAATTGTTTGTGCTTGGAAGGGATTGATGGCACAGGGAAAGGGTGAACACAATCAGTGTCAACATTATCAGTGCTGTGGACACACTGTCTTAAATGTAAATAGTAGAACTGTTGATTTAATTCTTTAAATTAATGTTTCTGGAAGAGGTATTATTTTTAAACATGCTATTCTGTATCTTTCTCTGTGTAATTAAGGAACAGGCAGCTTAATTGGGCTTCAGTGAGTTAACAGCAGTCATGGTTCTCCTAAGCCCAAGTTATTCCATATGCCATAGTTTACCCAACTGCAGTGTTTTTCAAGAACATAGGTCACTTGGTTGTCAGGGGATTGATCTGCTGCTAACTCTTATGGCTTACTAGTATAAACAAGTTCATTTTTTCATTGTGGTAAATGGAGCTGTCAGAATACTAAGTGGTTTGAGTGCAAAAGTAATTTTGTTCACAGGATAAAATTTACATGTATGGTGGTGTGGAGGAGAATGGTGCTGTATCAAATGAACTGTGGGCATTTGATGTGAGCGCAAAGACATGGGAGAACATTACTGTTCGCACTGAGCAGTGTAATACCACTGGATCCAATGCAACCATGCTATGTGGTAAGTATTTACAACATCAATTAAGTTTCAACCCTCTCCTCAGTAAAACATTTTTTATACTGATTTCTTGCATACATCTGATTTATTTTGTATACAAAATTGAATAGCCTGTTATTCTTATTTGCAGACATATCTAATATTGACATAGAATTCCAGAATTTTTGATATCACATAGGTGTTTAAAATATAAGAGATTGATAGTAAGTCTCAGAACTAACTCATTTAGTTACAGTGTTTTCTGGTGTCCCCTGTGCATGATAATACAGTGAATAAATTGCAGTATTCAATGTTAGTCACTGATTTAACAAGAATGGCTCCAATGAAGTGGTTGGAGGAAGGTCAATACATGCAGTTCTGTTTCTTGTATCTGAAGGAATGATATTGTCACATGTTAATGACTAGATATGGGACCATATGAGAAAACATTGCTTACAACACTTTCTGTTTTGTTGCATATGTATCTGTTGCTCTAGAAACATGTTTGCCTGCTCATGCTAGTTTCTTGCTTGACTTGTTCTTGGACCCTGAAGATGAAGGTGACATGTTCCTCCAAAACGCTGGTTGGCTTTCAATGGACTACAAGGCATTATATCTCAGAAGATAGAACCCTTCATAACCACTGCTCTGAGAACCTCAAATTCTACAATTTCTGGAATTATCTTCAGTTTTTCCCCCATCCTTGCTTGATGAACAGGATGATTCAGACATTTTGGAAAATTAGTGAAGAAAAATATGTCAGATGAAATAAAAAGTTCTTAAATTGTATGTAGAGAGGAAAATCAGTAAATTTCTTCGATTTGTTTCTTTCTCAACATTCTCAACAAGCAACACAGCATGCATATAAACTACACCAGTAAAAACAAGAACACATCACCAAGAGGGATAGATGACAATTCCACTACCAAGGAAGATAAAACACGATCCATATTGGTTCATGAACAAATTTCTTAACTTAAAAATAAGTTGTTACACATATTCATAACATAATTTTAACGTAAAGGAAAGCTGCTGTGGTGAAACAAATTAAATTTTATATACAATGCAGTGGAAAATTACATTTTTAAAATATCCTTTATGGACATGATTGCAATTATGTCACTTCTAAGTAATATACTTCAAGAATGTTCTTATTATAAAAGTTTACGTCAAACATCTGTTTCGACAATAAAAATTAACAACTATATATAGTGAGCATCATAAATGTTTTAAGTGTATATAGTCTTATAAAAACATTTACGTATTGGTGGGTTCCTGATCGTAGTGGTATACCTCTGATGATGATGCATTAAGAATCGAAACAGGTTGGGTAACTAAGTGCTGAAGTGGTGAAGGCATTATATGTCACATTGAACTGAAATAAACTTAATTGTAAAAATATATAATAAATTTCTTATACATGTATTAATTGTGGTTTGTCACATACCTGTATAGTAATGAATGTATAAGGGGTGGGCCTTCTTGGCCCTTGCGCTGCGACCTACAGTGGTCTATTGTGCTTTACATGTATAGTAAAGTATCACATTAGCATATATTTTATGAGGTGATATAAAGGAGTTGTTTTAAAAATTAATGAATACTTGTGGAAAGCAGTGAAAATTCATATTTTGAAAACACTGCTTGAAGGATATTGACTTTTTTTATTAATGCTGTAGATTCATAACCAACCAGCCATATGTTTGTACTGAAAAGTGTATGGTGATGTCACAAACCTTTGAAGTTATATTTACAAATAAATGGAAACCACCCTGTTTTAGGTGTAATCTTGCCTGAGCTACTTGTTGATACTCTTATGGGTGGTGATTATACAGTGTCAGAAATTCAAAGATATATGTAGCGTAAACGAAATCTGTGTCTGATACTCTTGATGTCTCCATTATTAAATATTTCCTATCCTTCATACATGTACATGTGTGTGCACACATACGCACATACACAAAGTAGTTGAGTTTTTATGTTGTTTAGTGCATTACTTAATTCTGTCTTTTTATTTCAGGGCCGTTGAGGTCTGCAGGTCACACTGCAACAGTGGTCACTAGTAGGTCAAACAAGAAGTCAGAGCGCATGTTAGTTATTTTCGGCCATTCTCCAGTGTATGGCTACCTGAACACTGTTCAAGAATACCAGTTTGGCACAAGAGACTGGAAACTAATTTCTACACAGGGGTTTCCAGTGAAAGGTGGCTATGGTCACAGTGCAGCTTGGGATCCACTTAGCCAAAGAATATACTTGTATGGAGGTTTTGCATCAGAGAGCACCTCTACACCAGTCCTAAGTAGGAAGCTGTATTCCTTTGAGCCTGGTACTCACACATGGTAGGCATATTCACACTAAAAGGGAACTTCTTTGCTCTCAGTTTTAAGAGTTGTACTTTTTGTGATGTATTTTTGACGGTATTCATAAAGTGAGCTTGAACTCTACAAAAGCATGATGTTCTAATTTTCAGAAAGTCAGTGTGTCTGAATTATATTCTTACATATTATTCTCTTGAAACAACGAAAAGTCCTACAATCAACATCTGTATTTCTAACTCCTGAACATTTGTCGTGTTTATTTTCCCTGTAAAGGGAAGTCACTGCCTGGTTCCAACAGCAGCCCAAAGAATTTTATGCTGCTGGTTTTCAGGGGCTTGTGAAACGATGAGACAAGTGCCTCAGTGTACAGGGAGATTATGTTGAGAAATAAAAGCATTTTTCAAATCAGTACTCTTATTTGTATAAGTTCTATATCCATTTGTAACTTACTTATTGACTAACCTTCATATAACTGTTCATCCATTTTGAATACTTAGGTACAAGGACATTATCTCTGCATAGAGTGCTCATTGTGATTTTGTTTTTGCAGGATGATGCTGATGCCAGCCCCTTCTGCTCGTTTCCTCCACACAGCCACTTTCTTGAATGGTGGCCTGATGATTGTGTTTGGGGGTAATACCCATAATGACACAGCACACAGTTTTGGAGCCAAGTGCTACTCCTCAGACATGCTGGTTTATGATGTGATATGTGACAGTTGGAGCACATTGCCTGTGCCTCAAGGGCTGAGGTCTGATCTTGCCCGCTTTGGTCATTCAGCTAGCATCTTTGAGAACTCACTGTACATTTATGGAGGCTTTGATGGACAGATGCTGTCAGACATGCTTAGGTAAAGTACTCGAAGCAGTTTTTGAGTTTTGAAGAGTTTTGTTCATGTTGAACTTAAGTCTAATTTAGTCAGTATGTTAATTAATGCACCATGTGCTCGGTAATAAAATATGTGGAAGAATGGGTGAGCAAGTGTGTGAGTATGCATGTCATTTTCTGTTATGTAAGGGTAAAGAGTCTGAAATATTTAGGACTTTCATTTTCAGACACCTCCTTCACATTTATTTATAGAATGCTTTTTGCTTTGCTTAGTCTGTGTTTGTTTATAGAGTATTTTTAACATTCCTGTTCTTTCTGCACTTACAGAATGGCTTTTACAGATGTGGTCTGCTTCTAATTATAGAATGTGTTTTACTGGAGTTTGCAAGCTTGATAATTTAATTCTGAACTAAGCTTGTGCTGAACTTTTTAAACATTGCAAGCTTAGATCTTAAACTCGTGCTTTGATCTTGAAGTATATGGTAAATTTATAAATATGTTTACAATTATTTTGTAAAATTAATCTTTGGTGAAATACAAGGTGCATACATTGGAAAAGCTATAATATTCATTTTTTAAATAACCATTTATTTGTAAGTTATGTTACAGGATATGTGACTTGCTAATCTTTTATCTTTGGTGTGTTTCAAAGTGACTAGTTATACAACAGATTACACCATCAGTTTATATATGAAATTGAAATGTAACTGTGTGATGAGAAGTCTGGAATAACACACTTTTTGGATACCATAGCAATGCATTGCTGTGCATTAAACGTGTTCCATGAAGTAAGTTATCTAGTCAGGGATGAATGAGTGAACAATCTTTTCTTTTAGTGTATTGTGTCTATTCTGTGTGCCCTGGTAATATTTTAATGTTATGTATAGTTGGAATTTATTATGGGATGTGACTTAGTTTATGAAGATTTTGAAAATTTGTGCTGTTTTCAAAATATTCATGTAGAATGTGCCCATATACAGTAAACTCTTGCTTATCCAGATTAATTGGAGGGAGAGGTCAACTGGATTAACCAATAAGCCATATTAATAAAGCAAAACATAGGCCAAAAAGACGAAAAGAAACATAAAAACAAATGGAAAATTTAATAATACAGGCAATGCTGATGGAAGTAAATAGAGAAAAATGTTACTACAGCAATTTCTTCCTCTGTCAGAAGCTGAAATCCAGTCGCCTTCATCCAGCTGAAGTCAGTCTTGGCTATTTTCTTACGTGGTTTCAGTCTTTCCAGCTGCACTCAACACAGTGTGAAAGTCCTCTTGCTCTTAAATCCCATGTGTCTTTTAAAGTATGTACTCAACTGTGAACAGAATGTTTCATTTTTCATATTTTGATCTGGGCTGAGATCTGGATTAACTTTAACAAAATTATTGAGGGTTTACTGTATACCAATTCAGTAAAACCAACAGGACAACTGATGTCAACACTAGGTAGGTCTACTGATATATTTTTTGAGTGGAGACAGAACCAGTTAGCATTTCTCTTGCCCGAGAGAAGCCGAACACTGTCTGGTTTACTCACTGTAGGAACAGGCCGTGATAAGGCAACGAATGAACCTCTGCATTTGCAACATTCAAGGAATTGTATTTCTAAACTTTTATCTTGTACACATAATATCGTTGCCCATTCTTTTATACTTTCACTTGAGTACTTCATAAATATTTAATTTCCATAGCATGCAGTCTCCATTTGTTTATAACTTGTATGGATATGTCATGATTGTAGGTACACTCCAGGAAAATGTGGCAGCTTTACAAACCAGTCACTTTGCCTTAATACTCGTCCTGGAGTGAAGTGTGTATGGAACAGGCGACAGTCGGAATGCCAACCGATAGGCAATTTGCCAAATTACTTTGTGATTGGTACGTCTGAGTCACAGGATGTACAGGCTGTAGAGGAAGATAAATATAGGTATGATAAATATAACTAGTGAGTCTGTTAATCAGGTGTTTTGTAGTTTTTGTTTCACCAATCTGAAACATTAAGCTTCTTGCAGAGTATCATTGATGTATGTGCTTAGTAGCATCAGAATAAGAGATTCTGCTGCATTCTTGTGAAGGCACAGATATTATATTCATTAACTTATGATACTTGGAATTTGAGCTAGTTGCCTTTGCATACATTGCTTCCTGATATTTGTAAATATATTTTGTATTAAAATTTAACTTTTAGTCTCCCATTCATTTACAGTAATCATCATCATCATCATCAGTAATTTGTCAGACGACTGGTCCACAGTCTCTTCCAAAACAGTTCCTCCACTTATTGCGATCTAGAGCTTTCTCCTTCAAATGACAGTATCCTCTTCTGTCCCCAAGGTCATCCAGCATCTTCTTACGTCTTCTTCCTCGTCTTCTTGTCACTTCTATCCGCCCCTCTATCTTTCCTTCAATAACTTCTTTTAGAAGGCAGTTTCTGCGTAAAACATGGCCAATCCAATTAGCCTTTTACGTTACAGTACATTACATTACAGTAATAACTAAAAAAAAATCCATGGCCTGTAGTCTGCAAGTGAACTATACCAACAGTGCAACCGCCACTTGTCGGCGAAGTTAGTGCCAACTTTTTCAGATAGAGGGTGTCACATGGTCAGTGCAACGGTTCCCCATGGCCGTTAATCTCGGGTTTTTAGACCAGATCCGCTGTTTCCTTGAAGTAGCTCCTTATTTATCCTCATGAGGCTGAGTGGACCGCGTTCCAGACCTGCTACTTGTCAGAGAATCTGGTAGCCCCAGGAATCGACCCTGGGAACTGAATCTGTTGCCAGTAATTCTGACCACTAGGCCACAGAGACAGCCCACAGTAATAACTCAGTCTTGTAGAATTTAATGGATGCAAGTAATTATTAGACTCTTTTATATGCAAGTTCTTTACGTAGACGTTATAGTTTGACTTTACTCATTTTATCTTCCAAATTTAATAATTTACTTATACATGTGTTTATTCAATAATTTAACATCAGCATAGGGCAAGACTTCATGTGTCCCATTCAATACCAGCCTCTCACAATATTCTTGGGCCTTCTGAATTCTGAAAAGGAAACACATCGAAAGGTTATATGTATGAATGTTAATACATACGTTTCATTTAAAAATGTTTTGTTTAAACTAACTAGTTTTGTGGGTATACCAAATTCAATGAGAATTCTGCTTGATGCTTTTTTCATAACTGAGCTGCATACTTCCATGTAGCTGATGTACTATTATGTTGTACTCCCATTTCTTCTTAATGAGCTACAAATACAGAATTTCTGATCAGTAGTCAAAATGTTATGGTGAAATCCACATTGAAATGAACACTTTTTATAGAGAGGTGCCATTTCAGTGAACTCCTGCAGATCTCATAAATACATATTTAAAGAGTTTCTCTGTTCACTAAGTGAAAATGGTGAAAATATATATGAAATATTTTGGACCGAACCAGAATCGTTGTGTAGTAATGCCTGAGGTCTCTGCAACCAGGTCAACTTCTCACTGTCAAATATACATTGTTCTACCGATTTTATGATTTCATCGTGATTCACTGTTAGTATTGATTCTCCTCTGTGTGGATGTGGGCACTTTTCTTGATGTTTTGGAGGTACATGCTGCCTCTATCTTCAGGGCTGAATTATGTAGGGTGGATGAGTTTTCCTGTCTATGAAGATGTCTCATTACTTTTCAGTTTATGCCAATTTCTGTTCCTTTTTTGTATCTGAATTGAATTATCATCCTTTCCTTACAGCCACTGTCCTGAAGAGAGCCGTTCATCTATTGCTGCTTCCATTATTACACATTCAGAGCTGTGTGCCGGGTTTCCAGACTGTATTTCATGTGTGCATACGTCTTTTCAATGTGTATGGTGTGGAAATGAGGGTTGTAGTTATCAGCGCTGCAGAGAGAATAGTCTGAACAGTGCTGCTACTGTGGGCAGAGAAGGTAATAGGTAAACCATCTTCGCCACTGTGCTAGAGAGGGGAAAGATGTACACTTGCATACCATTTTTACCCTAAAATAAATTTTGTAGAGTTTTTTAAATATGTATTGTGTCATGAAAAGTATGAAACTTAAAGCAGTTCTTTCTTGTCTGTTAGACATTATTTGGTATGCTTAATATTTACTGAGCGAGAGGCATGTTGCATTATTCATCTGTTGACTTCTGGGTACAAAGAATACTGCACACTTACAGAAACAGATGATTCTGAGTTCACATTTCAAATATAGTATTGAAAATAAACATTATGTTTCATTTGACTTGTACTTCTGAAAACAAAATTCTTTTTAAGTATTTATAAGTAGTTAAGCAGTCACATAAATGGCTTTGTAAGTGTGGTGAGTACCAGGCTTGTATTATATTGTATTATGCTGAAAATCTTCAAAAGAAGATTTAAAGGAAGTTACAAATTTTCATTATGTTTGGAGTAGTACTGATATTTCTTAACATGATTTTTTTCTCTGTGGCCATAAATGTAACTGAAATTCCAATGTCTGATAATCTGTTTCTGTACACAGACTATATAGTTTCTATTATTATGCACCTGTGTACACTTAATATATAGCAGATCCAAACCGCTTGTACCGAAGTCAGAGTGGCAGTGAGGAACACAAATGTGAAGTCAATGAGGGTCCTGTATGCCATCAGCTTCACAACTGTCAGGCATGCAGCACACGCAGCAATTGCCACTGGGACTTTGAACAGCGCTGCAAGGCTGTTGGGAATGTTACAGAACAGCAGGTATTCTTATTGATCACATCTCATTTTATCTTATATGACAGAAGATGGCATGTAATTTTTATTTGGCATGTGCAACAGTAATTATCTTAGTTTGGGATGAGATTGAGATTAGAATTTTGACAAATTTTGAGAACTGAGGTAAGAATGGAAATTCTCCCTACTACATCAGCTTTTCCATATGAAAATCTGTAACACTAATCACATTTTCACAGTGCACCAGAACAGTTCTGCATATTGCTGTTTCAGAATATAAATGCATAATGCCTAATAATATTTCTCAGTCATGCTGTACCTGTCAGTGTATCATTCTTGTGTATGTGTATTACTACTTCCTTCGCCTGAACATTTTTAGTTCTTAGTTTGTAAAATTTACATTGTTCTAAAGTTAGGTTAAACACAATATAATTATTTTTTTAAAAACAGTAAAGTGCTGTCATATAGCTTGGTAATGTGACAAGTAATTAATGGGTTCCATATTAGGTGAAATGGTTTATTGGATATTCACCAGGTAAAATTATAATTAGGTGTAACACAATCTTACTATAACTATAACACTTCGTGACTACGAACAATGATAACAGTCTAAAGGTTACTGTAACTAGACCACATAAAATAAAGACTTCACTTCTGACTTCCGTTTATCTTCTGTCTTTTGTCGTATTTCGTCCTCTTCTGTTTTCTGTTTGTCAGTTCTCTCCCTGAGGTAGGTTCTAGTCAAACCATATGGAGATCATCTCCTTCAACAGTAGAGTTATCATGTTCTTCGCTGTTTCTGTGTTTTGGAGGTTTGTTGGCATGTGAACAGAAATGTTTCTGTATGCATTGCTTAGTAATCGACATGGCTCTATGCAATGCATTGCTTCTTCAGTTGTGTTAGTTGCTGTGGAAACATGATTACCGAGCCATTGTCTAGCAATGGGTGCCTGGGTCTGCCTCCACTATTATGGCTTTCAGGCATCACAGTGTCTGTGAATGAAAATAAACACCAAATATGAACTAACTGGGGAACCAGAGTACAATAGAATGCTGCTACAAACAGTGCAATACATGTTGCCAATAGATATAACCAGGTCCTGCAATATAATGATACTGTCACGTATTGAGTGTATATAACGCGACAAATAACTTCACGCCGTATTTGATATAGCGAATTTTATTTCACATTCGCACTTACAATCACCCAAATTACAGATTCACAATGATTCAATTATTTGTCGAGACGTGTTCAAGTTCGTGAAACAATTCTGACACCAAATTGTCAAGTGTCTTGAGTTCGAATCTCGTTGATCACGTGTGTAAGTCCAAATCCCATTTCTGACACCAATGTAACGTGTATTGTTACTGAATACACCGTAGAGATCGTTAATTGGTTTATTTAACAATCTACAAATAACGGCTACAATTAATTATAACACAGTTGCGGGGTTTCACACTTTATAACCCTAATCGCAATAATCTGTTACCACTGTTGCGGGGTTTCACACTTTATAACCCTATGCGCAATAATCAGTTCACTCTGTCTTAAGTAGTCTACACGTTTACAGTAGGGGAGCTAGGTATCACTGTATCACACGCTCCCAATTACACAATTACACACATGTCCGGTTCTTCTTTCCGCGACGGCTGCTATACTCCAACTGTAGTTGGCTGACTGGAGAACTGTTGATAACACACTCGCTCGACTACTACTTAACTCTGCCTAGCCACATTACAACTGACTCGTAGCTGCTGTGCAGTTCCCTTATATAGCCGCAGTGGTGCCTGTTGCGTGCCACGTCACAGGAGTTGTTGATTGCTGCCTAGCAACCGAGATATCCCTTGGTGACATCACCGCTGTTGACTCGCGTTGCATAGCTACCAGGTTGCGGGGACTCGGCTAACTTCGGCTCCGCTGGGAGAGTGGCGGGGTGATGACTCGCCTATTACGCGAGCGCTACGTTACTGCCACATGCCGCTGGGGAGGTAGGGGTCCTCCGTTGCGCAACATGTCACAATACATAAACCAGTGGCCAAATGCAGTGAAACTGCCTTGAGAAAACGTGTGCTTTCTGTAGCCGGCAGCAAAAGAGAGTCAGTTGAGCCTGTATTGCACTGGCAAAGGATGAATATTTCTTTGTTGCAATGAGGTCTGTCTTAATATGAAAATGTGGCAGCGCATAAAATATGTTTACCTGCCAGGCAAATTCATCTTGTGTGTTACTTGGCGTGCATATCATTACCTCTTTTGATATTGAACCTTTTTCAGTGAAAATTTTTTATAAATCATTGTATGTAAAAGAAATTCTGTTTTAGGGCCATATCCTTTTTCAGCCTGGGCAGAAAGAGGGAGACGGATGTTGACAAGTTGATTTGTGCTAATGATTCCAACTGTTGCAATTCTGTGCTCTTGTACAAACAGAAAGTAGTTGTTTGAAAATTTTCAAAATTTGAGACAAAGAAATTTACATTTGAATCAAGATCAAGATATTTTTATTGATTTGGTCTCAAAAATACGACGCTCACGCATGTCTGATTTACATGCGGAATTGTGAATTTTCGTATGATTGGGCAGTGTTTATTATTTCTGTAATACACCATGGTGCATATACAGTGTATCATACTTTTATGTAAAATTATTATGGTGGATGGATGGTAGACAACAGGGAGGTTGATTCTCAGGCACTGTAACATACATTGTATTTATCAAAGTGAGCATTTTAGAGGTGCATACTGTGAATACAATATTTATGTAGATCTTAAGGGGACAGATTCTGGTAACGTGAATGATTGACTTTTGTTGTAGTGATGATGAACATTTCGTAAATAAGAGGTGAAATAATGTGTTTGGCTGATCCCGCAGGAGCCACTAGCATGCACCAGTAGCTGTTCTGAATTCACGTCGTGCCTAAATTGCACTGTGGAGGAGTGCATTTGGTGCCAAAATGAAGGGCGTTGTGTTGATAAGAATGCTTATACTGCCTCATTCCCATATGGCCAGTGTCGTGAATGGACAACACATCAGGCCAGATGTCGTTCCACCTCAGGTGAGCAGTACTATTTGTATTGCCCAGCAATTTTATTATATACTCCAATACAAAATTTCATCAGAGGCTGTTGAATAGGTTTCGGAGTTGAAATGAATGGACAGTTTAATTGCTTACATACATTTTCATGGCATTTAAAATTCTTAATAATTAATATCTGACATACAAGTGATACATTTCAGCCAAATTTGTCAATTAAGATGCCTCCTGTCTTGATGACTAGAATTAATTTTGAAGAGTTTTTTGTTAATGGTAGTCAAAGCATGAAGCTTATGTCTTGTTTTGATACGTTGAACAGGATTTCATTACCACATTGTGAAATGAAAGCGGATGATTACAATGATGATGGCAACAACAGTGGTGATGATGATGATGATGATGATGATGATGATGATAGTGGTGATTATGTTAGAAAATTATGTGGAGATACTGAACAAAGTGACTGAAGCAGTAATGCTTGTGACTTATGTTTGGAAGATGCCTGGCTCAATTTTAGCTGTAGTGGCGTGCCTTGCGTGGAAGCAAGGGAAGCATTGCTTCCGTAGTTAAGAAACAAAAGGAAAAGAAGTCATATATAAATAATTCAATTTGAATATTGTCATTTAGCGCATGTTCCTGCTCAAGGCCACATGCCTCCTCCTCCTCCCTTACCCTGTTTTATGGGATGGACAAAGTTTCCCTCGTTAATCTCCGTACAAATTCATCCCATCCAAAGTGGGCAATGGAAGCAAATTTCGGTTTGCTGGCTAGACCAGCTAAGGAATGCATTCTTTCGATGGTTCATTCATTCATCTGTAATCTGTCAAGTCGACAGGTCCATAGTCTCTTCCAAAACAGATCCTCCACTTGATGCGATCTAGAGCTTTCTCCTTCAAATGAAGGATGGTTATGTGAAAATGAACTGTTTATGTGTGATTTCAGTCTTGTTGGGTTTTATAGGTAACATTAAGTTTTATTAAAATATTGTAAGTGCATATTTATATGGCGTAAGATTGTATTTGTGATCGTATTCTGGTGCATCAGAAAGAGGCTCTCTGCGTTTAAGGGAAGCAGGTCTTATATTGCAGTGAGAGGGGCATGAATAGACTACACGCACAGGCCACAGCTAAAATGAATGCTGGCAGACAACGCGACTCCGACTGTGCAATTGAAAGCCTTTTAAAATGGGGGTTTAATATCAGGGACTTTTCTGAAAAGAAAATAATTATAGAAAGAGGATGACTGACATGAGAGTTGCCAGAACTTGAAGCACAAACCAAATTATGTGTGAGAAAATTTAATTTGGAACAGTATTGTAAAAGAGACTGGCTATCTGGTTGCAGTAATATAGGAAAATTGTTTTGTTGGCCATGCCTGTTGTTTCTCAATGAAAAAAATGTATGGAACAAGACTGGGTTTGGTGATATCAGCAACCTTCATGAAGCATTGAACGACATGAGAACTCTCAGACTCACATTATTTCAACAGTGCAACTTGTTATGTTTGGGAAATCTCGAATTGACTGTCAACTTGATAATCAAAAGCACATGACGATACTACATAGAGAAATAATGAAACGATTGATATCATCTGCCATTTAGGAAAGAAGCAACTTGGCCTCCGTGGTCATGATGAAAACGTGGATTCTATCGACCGAGGTAATTATGTGGAATTAGTTCACTTGTTGAGGAAATATGATCATAAACTCAAAGTTCACATTGAGAAAAGTAAAGTATTTACAGGTTTATCGAACAGAATACAAAACGACCTTATTGACTCAATAAGTGATGTAAATTTTGGTGAGTTGATTGCTATCAGTTCGTTTATTAGATTCCACTGCTTCCCTTACCAAACATAGTACTGCATGCCACTGTTCGGCTAGGACATAAGCTATCCTAACTGAGGTTTTCACGATTTTCTTCAGTGCCTCCAAAAAATGCTTCAGTAATATGAAATTAGGATGTAACAGCTTCCTTCCTCATCCTTTCCAATTCATTATTCGCTGATTGCCCTACCACACGATGCAATGCAGTCTGATCTACTGATAGCATTATTAATAAGGTGGAGATGATGTTCAGAGTATTTCCAGGTTACAAATTATTATGAAAGATAAAACAATTCTATCTAGTGTGACTGGTGAAGTTTTTCCTGTTTCAATTCTTCATGTCCTTACATGCTTCGGTCCTTAGAGACCATCATCAGAGGGACATCGATAGAGTTTGGAAACCACTATTACAATGGGTGTTTTGAATGTTAAAATATATATACATACAATATTGACAGTACACAAATGGATACAAAATCCAAAGTTTTCACAACTACAGTGGCTGTCTTCATATATTAAAAATTTTTAAAACTTTTGTTATTTAACACTTCGCAGACCTGCAATTTAAATATTTAAATCACCCTGGGGACTGGCATTTTTAAAGCCACTACCCTAATTTGTGCATTGATCACTTAAAAAATTAATATAAAATCTTCTAATTAATTTTATGTACTATAATTTTTGGAGAACACTTACCAGTGCTCCTAGAAGTGCTTCCCCTTTGTGAAGTGGCATTACACAGAACTTGCACATGTAGACAGTCATACTCCTTTTGTTGTGTGCTGTGCAAACACGGCATCGCCTAGAAGGCTGTTTCCCCTTGGCATGTTCACTCTTCACAATTTTCACGAGGGTATTTTTCTGCATATCACCTGAGAGTCGCCCAGGGCCTGCATGGGGTGGGAGTTGATGAACCCGGTTGCACTAAGTCTGTGTCTGCCGCCTGTTCTGCCGCCACCGTCTGGTCTGTAGCCCAGGCTTTTGCCACATTCAGCAGAAATGCCTTGTATTTCAATTTTGAATGAGGGTTTAGATTTTTGAAAACCAAAAATGAGTTGAAAATGGCACAATTTATAAGCCACAAGGCAACTTTCTTTGTCCACTTTACTGTTTTCTGAGGATGAGAATAATAGGCCAAGTACTGATCGGCTCTATCAGCTCCCTTCATGACATGTTATACTCGGAAATACAAACAGGCTTCTTTACCTGTCCATGTCTCCTTTGAACATCAACCATTCTCGAATTGTGAATTGTGGAAATCATATTCACAACACGAGTATCCCTCCAGGACTGAAGAAGAATATCCCCCTTCCTCATGAATGTGGTTTCACCACGTTTCAGGGATTTACGTTCCTCTTTCAGATCTGGAGGAAGGCCTCTGTTCACCCTGATTGTTCCACAAACATGTACTTTTCTCGAAAGTAGGTGTTCTGCAGTTGCCACACTGTTATAATAATTGTCTTGAGAGACATGGTAATTTTGATCAAGATAGAGTTCCAAAACGGAAAGAATGGTTTCTTGTAATTTCTTTCCTTCACCAGAATAAATTTCTAAATTTCCAATACAGCCTGAAATGCTTTCAGTAACTACACAAACAAGGAGGCCATACTTTGTAAGTTTCCCAGGATTGTATGTTCGCATATGAAGCCTTCCCCTCCAAGGATTCACAGATTCATCCAAAGACAGTTGTTGGTTTGGCTTATAAACTGTCTGAAATTTCTGAACGAAAACGTTCAATAAGGGCTGAATTTTGAAAAGCCTGCCTGTTGATTATGGTTGCAGTTCATTATCATTGAAATGCAAACACCACCAAATTTGCTCAAATCTATTATGACTCATTAGTTTGCCGAAAATTGGAATTTCTAAAAATGGATCTGTTGACCAATACTCTTTCAGATTATCCCTCCTTGTATGGCCCATTAGAAAGATTATTGCAAAAAATTTTCTCATTTCTGCTGAAGTGACATCCACCCATTTCAACACCTTCTAACTTCTGTCATAATGTTCACGGTTTTGGGGATAGTATCTGTTAGTTTCTTGACATAGCATGTCAAAGAAACTATCTCCAAAAAACAGTTCTGCTAGTTCAGACACTTGCGCTGGGTCCGATGGAATTTGCTTCACCCCTGGATTTCCAGTAAACTGTCCCAAAGGAGGCATTTTGTCTACTTTTCCCCATGTGGCTGTCCCCGCAATGTTGCTACCCACACTTTCGTCAGAGCTACTGTCACTTTCACTCTCTGTGGCCACAATATTTTGTTCACCCCTGCCATACTCACTATCAGATTGTGAGTCACTATTACTAGCAGACTCACAAGGGACGTCAGATAGCTCATCGGTGAACAAGACAGATATTTCTTGTTCTCCGAGAAAACACTTGGACCTCTACCTCTTCCGACCTTGATCCATTTTGCATTAGTAACTTCCTGCCTGGTGCATGCAGCTCGAAGATGAACAAAGGCATTTTCTTTTGGAGTGGGAAAAGAAAACAGTTGGGTCATAAACAGTGGGGTCATGTTACTGACTACGAAGAGAACATTCGAGAGGTCTATCATGCACCAGTCATGCGTCTGCCTGGCGGCAGTGCAAGGTATAGTGTGTTTCAACATAACGTGTCCTAAAATCATAAAAATATGCCACCGGTCCGCAAAGTGTTAAGTTAGAATTTATAAACCAAATAGGTTCACGTCCTCTCTCTTATCACCTCTCCTGACCAGGGCCGAACTTGTGCAGTCTGTCTTTCTTGAGAAGAAGGTTCTTTGATGTTGTCCTGTGGTTGTTCATGGCTCACTGTGTTGTTTTTATGGAATTGTTTTATCTTTTATAATATTTTTAGTGTGACGGACCAGAATGAAACAAATCAAATTACAAATTATTGTTTACAAAAGTGTTTTTTTTTTTGTGTGTAAAGTGACTGCATAAGGAGGAAACTGTGTCCTTGTGCCTGTTTATCAGTTTGTTCTGTTTCAAGAAATATCTTATTTAGACAGTGAGAAAATACTCCTTGCTGTCATATACATTGTCATATTAGTAGTGTCATTAGTTTCACTACATTATATTTTTTGTCAATAAGTGAATATGAAAGTCAATATCATTGTTTTTACAGGAAAATCTGCTTGTAGTTTCTATCCCACTTGTGTAGAATGCCGGGATGACCCAGCCTGTGGTTGGTGTGATGATGGTTCTGGGACAGGGTTGGGACAGTGTCTGCCTGGTGGGAATGCTGGCCCAAACCAGCCCAATCTTAGCTGTGCAGCAGGCCGATGGTTCTTCACAGAATGCCCAAGTGAGTCATGCTGCATGGCTACATTCACACATTCACTTAGGAGAGGCTTTTATTTGGGGAGGTGGATTGGATTTAATCTCTGTTTCTGTGCTTAGTTCTGGGTTCATGTTTCAGGATGAAAGGCAAATGTGATTGCTGCAGGAAATAGTGTTATGTATGGATGTTAAGTGTTTGACTTGTGTTCTACCTCTGTCCACCAGCATGCCAGTGTAATGGACACAGCATATGTCCAGCCAATAGCAGTGTCTGTAACCAGCCATGTGCCAACCTTACTCAGGGTCCTCATTGTGAACACTGTGTTCTTGGTTACTATGGAAACCCAATCAATGGTGGAAAATGCATTCGTAAGTATAAAGTTTTGCTTAAAATTTCTGTGATGTAGTTTTTTGTAATGTGGTTCGAGTGCTACATTAAATAATATCTTAAGTTTCTCATTAAATGTCTTAATGCAGCAATTTTCATCATAAGGGTTCATTGCATCTCAGATTAGGAGACAGTGCTGGGCGCATGTGAACGTGGTATGAACCCTTGGGTCCCTTAAAGGGCTTGGATTATGTGGAGTAAGCACCTGTTAGCTATTTAGGACTGTGCTCCATGTTCTTAGTTATGGGTTGATTGTAGAAATAACACCATTCTTTTCTGCCCAAATGAAATGTTTCAACCATTAAACTGTGATGTAATGAGAAATTCCCTGCTGTTTCATCAGTCATTTCACTTCATGTGACATAGCCATGATTTCTAGCAGGAGAGAAAGCTCAGTCAGTATAGTTTGTGGCTATGTGCTGGATGATTTTTATCTTTTCCACATGTCCGTACTGGCTCTTGGTCTAACTCAGTCCCCCTATTTAAGGGGTATTGGGGGCTCTTTTTGTGGATGTAAAGCAGCTGACTACAAAGGGAATTTGGCCATTCACCTCGTCCTAGTGCTGAGGTTAAGATTACATGAAACCATACCCTGATTGCCTCATACATCTTCATGGTCTAGGACTTGATTTATCCTTGATTTCAAAATGTATTTCTTCCACCCTTATTTCTGCTACTATCTTTGTACATATGCTTCTTTAAATTTAATTTGCTTTCTAACTCAAAAGTTATTTAAAGATGTGCATGGTAATTAGAATACAGTGAGAGTTTGGTTTTGTACTCTTGGATTTCTTAGTTTAACTTACTTTTTGTGTGGTCCTAGCTGAATGCCCATGAGAAGAATGTTCAGTTTTAACCAATTTTGTATTTACTCAAACTTAACAGATATAAGTTTGAGTAAATACAAAATCAGTTTGGTGTCAGGAAACATTATCTGTCTTTATATTATGATTTTGCCCTGCATTCTGATGCTCAGATGTGGTCATATAGTTAGATTGCTGTGTGTTTACTTCTACGTCAACCTCTATACTATCATCTTATAGAGTTTCTGTGCCTGTATTTATGGTATTTATGTTTTCACCCAGTATATTTACATCATTAACATTGACTAGAAGTTGATATGTCTTGTTCAGTTTCAATTGCTTCTGGATTTTTAGACCATCATAATAGCATATTCTAAAGAAAACTTACAAAGCGGAAGTGATAAGCTATCATCTAACAGATAAATATAGTGTAGAATATTTATACATAGCAGATTGTTTCATAAGTGGAAATAACAGAATGCTAAGTTAATAGCTCTTCTGAATTATCTGCAACAATCTTCTTCTCCATTACAGTGGATAATTGGAAGTCTTCTATATTTACTTCCAGACACAGTTTGTGTGTTAGCTTCTTGACTAGCAGGATTTATATAATTCAGTTCAGAAATTAAGATTGTGTTCTTTATTAGCCTTGACGTACAGCTGTTACGAATGTATATCATGTGTATTCACGTTTTGTATCTGGTGTATGACCGGTTATATATCGGAGATGAACTTGTAAAAAGATTTTTTTTGCAGCATGTGAGTGCAATGATCAGGGAACTGAGTGCCATCCAGATACTGGAAAGTGTTACTGCACCACAAAGGGTATCGCAGGTGACCACTGTGAACGCTGTGACACACACAACAACTACCATGGTGACCCAACTAATAAGGGTTCATGCTACTGTAAGTATGGTAGTGCTGCTAAGGAAATGGGGCTAATTAATTTGAAAGTTTTTCCTTAGTTTGACTTTTTCTAAAATTTGTCAAAGGTTTTAAGGTTGTATGAACATTTGTGTAGGTCATTAAGTAAAGTGGCACTTAAAATGGTTTATACTTAACCAGATACAAGTTTAAAGTTTGTAGCAGAATGCTTCTTGACTTTTCATTTAATCACATGAAGGAATGTCACTTTTGCTGAGTGGTTTTCCATGAAATTTAATTTGTTACTATTACAAAATTATGTTCTGTTCGTGGTGAATAATTTACAGTCATCAGGAGGATTCTGGTATTATATTTACATAGTCTGATGAAATTCAATTTTGGGATTTCTTAAAGAACTCTGAATTTAGAGCAACACTTTTTTGGAAACTTTAATCCATCTGGGCTCCCAGAATAAATTTTCAGTAGTGTCTCATTCAGTACTCATCATATCAGAATACATTTGAGACACATTTTGTGGAAATCACTGAGAAACTATATTATATTTATTTTATGTATTTATATGTGTTAGGAAAGTAACTGTCAGACTTAAGATGGTCTTTCTGGTTCCTGCTAGGGTAGTATTGTGAGTGTTTCAGAGCAAGGCAAGGGTAAAAAGTTGTTGAAATTGTTTGAAGGATGTTTAGTTTATTTAAGTATGAAAGTCTTTGTGCTCATATGTTTTTGATTTTACAGTAAATACAGTCTGAGTGTGTCTGCTGTAAGTATAGTTGAGTACCGTTTTATTAAAACAAATTGCTAGTGATTTACAACTTAACTGCTTTATAGTGTCTTCAAGTTTTTCCATCTCTGTTGAGCATGGTATGCAATAATACTCGTAATAGAAGTGATTAATCCCAGAGAAACAAATTTACCATCATATGACTCCAGCTGTATTTGGAAGCTGTCTTAAAATTATTGTGTAACAAGACACTGCAGTAATATCTGAAAATTAGATACTTTAAGTCACAAAGAACATTGTCCCCCTCTTTGTTCACAGGCATATTTTCAGTACAGTGTTGCCATCTCATTATATATGCCACCTGATTTATTAATGGGTAAAGTGGTAACGTGACTGATTTTTGGCTCTTCCAGATGACCTCACGATAGACTACCAGTTCACATTTAACCTGTCAAAGAAGGAGGATCGTCACTACACTCAGATAAACTTTAAGAACAGCCCACCAAAATCTGATGTTGATGCTGATTTTAGTATCACGTGTTCTGTCTTGGCAAAGATGAATATCACCATGAAAACTGGTAATTTAATTTGTTTTTAAATAAACACGGACATATAATTTAGGTGTGGGAAATTGTAGGGAAATAAGAAAGTAGTTAGCTGATTGACTGACCAACAAACCGACCAGTCAGTCAGCTGTTTGACTGACTGTATGGCGGACTGTCTAATGAAACTCCACTGAGTTCAGTCTTAATTGAAAAGCTAACAGTCACTCAGCTGGTCAAGAAATTCCTGGACCTGAATTCTGAGGATTCATTACTATCTTCACAAGAACTCTCTGTCCAAGCCTATCTGAGTCACTTGAATCCAGTCCACACCCTTACACCTTATTTCTTTATATCTATTTTAATATTATCTTCAGATCTATGACTAGGTCTGCAAGTAGCCTCTTTCCTTCAGGTTTTTTGACTATAATTTTGTATGCCTTCTCTTCTGCCTCATACATGCTGTGTGCTCCACATATTCATTATCCTTGATTTAATGCTTCAAATAATTTGTGATGAATAATAAAAATTGCAGAGGTCTTCATTATATAGTTTTCTCCATTTTTCCAGCCTGTTCATACTTTTCATTTCCTGCATCCTGTTGTGTTATAATATACAATTTCTTTATTAAAACCGTCACAACACAACTATATTAAGGTCAGTGCCAATTTTGGCTCTGATACATGTTTCGGCTACCAAAAGCCATCATCAGGCAACTACATGGCCAACGTATATACACTACTGAACTGCAGTAATAGTAAAATTGGATACAATAATATTAATTATATTAAAATACTTGGTGTAAAAGTACAATAAATTAGACCATATAAAACGAAAGTTATAGCATAAAACAAGATTAAAATTCTTCAAGTGATGCTTTACATCATCGAGTCACTCATTGGTTTTGTCATTCTGTTGTGTTCCCACAGACAAATTGGAGTATTCTGTGCATGATATATATACAGTGTCCGTCTTGCAGTGCATCCACTTTTACCTGTCACTTCACAACATGTTTTGGCATCATAGTGCCATCATATTGTCACGTGTTTTGTGTGTCACGCGACAAATAACTTCACGCCTTATTCGATGTAGCAAATTTTATTTCACATTCGCTCTTACAATCACACAATTTATAAATTCACAATTACTGCCATTGGCAGTATCACAAATACTGTACTGAAATTAACTGGTGACTGACTCGTAACTAGAGAACTCGAGAACAGGTAACTGAGAACTCACTGCTGGCTAACTCGGAACTTGAGAACTGTGTCTCGTAACTAACTGTGAATTGTCTTCACTGCTCCGTATCTAGCCTCGTTCTGGACAACTCAGAAAACAGCCACGTAATAGGCACCATTGTTGTGTGGTGCCGTGTTGCTAGCAACGCTGTCCGGAGTTGTTTTCTGCTGTCTAGCAACTGCGGTATCCCTTGTGACATCACCGCTGTTGACTCGCGTTGCATAGCTACCAGGATGCTGGGACTCGGCTAACTTCGGCTCCGCTCGGCGCGTCACGGCTGGCAGGGTGGGAGGAGGGGCATCATATATAGCGCAACACGTCACAATATATATAGTGCCATATATATCATGGATGAAAATCAGTGCAACAGGACGCTAAAATACAACATTATGGAGTATTCTATATTTTGTGTATATATAATAGACTGTTTTGGAGGCTTCTGATGTAGACGTAGTAATATTAATGTTAATTATTTAGTAGGTATACAAAGTACAAAGGTTTACAAAGTATTGTCCGTTCTGTAGGGAATGTAATCAATGACTGACCTTAATATAGTTGTGTTGTGATGGTTTTAATAAAGAAACTGTTCATACTTCATCTCTCATAATTTAAAATGTTCATATCAGACAGAATAATCATGGGATAGGATGATAAATGTATACAAAGTAGGAAAACCTGAAGGAAGGAGAGCACTAGGGAGCCTTAGTCATAGTTTGGAGGTTAATATTAAGATGGATCATAAAGAAGTAGATTTGTGCAAATGGTAATGAACCTTCAGGTTTCATAAATTGTTGTTAATATACTTCATTCCTCATAAATTTTATTTCATAGCTGATACAGCAATTATACCACAAGCAGAAGAGTAAGAAGTTCTGTTTGTTTTTTGTCATTCTCCCTTTTACGCTGATAATTTCATCGATTTTGTGGAAGCGAAACTATCAGTTTCAGCAGCTTAATTTATCATTACATCTTGCTACCTTCAGAAGTCGATGTTAGATCAAAAGAAAAATATTTACTTATTAAAACGGCAAATTATAAATATAGACAGCTACTAAATCTCTTCAAAATGTAGCTAAATTCAAAATTTGAAAATGACTATTAACAAATCAGAATTAAATTCAGAAAGAAAAAGTAAGTTGTTGTCCCTGTGCTTAACTAATTAAGCGCTACACCATGAAGTTGTATGGGGGAGTTCATGTCTAGATCCACCTTTTATTGATCTTGGCACTAGTTGGAGGTGAGTGGTCAGCTTCACGCCCCGTCCGCTTTAACCCATGGCAAAGAGCCTCTGGTACCCATTGGATACAAAGTTGGGTGGACCCAGAGCCCATCTGGAGGTTGTGGAGAAGAGAAAATTCTTGACCCTGTCGGGACTTGGAACTCCGACCCTTTGGTCGTCCAGCCTGTAGTCAGCCGCTATACTGACTATGTTATGCCTGTAAAGAAGATTAAATATTCAATATGCTTGCTGTGATTTGATTCAGGATCTTTATTTATCCTTCTGCCTCTCCTCAAAAATTGTAAATATTAAAATATGCAGAACTCTAATTCTGTCAGTCCTTTTGTGTGGGTGTGAAACAAAGGAACAACATATTGAGGTCACTTACAAAAGGGTGATGATAAGGATGTTTGAACCTAAGAGAAATAAAAAACAGGATAGAGAGAATTACATAATGAAGAGTTCCATAATTTTTACACTTCATGAAATATTAGGAGGATCAAATCAAGAAGGTTGAGATAGATGGGACATATAGTAGCCATGGAGAAAATGAGAAATGCATATAAAATTATAGTCAGAAAACCAAAATGAAAGATACCACTTAGGAGATCTGTTAATTGTGGTACATCGCAATGATTACAGGAACTTCCCCCTCTTTACTTCTGTAACATAAATTTAAAGTACATTGTTGTTCAAAATGGCATTATCAGTTCACACACTTATTGCATGTTTCTGTATAAAATTTTGAGCATATTTTTGTTATTTTTTCTTTCATATTTTGCAGCAAACAGTGCAGAAAGGCCACTCATTATGAACCACAACTGTACGTCGTTTCGCACACGCTTCAACAAGGCAGAACACATCTTTGGTGTTGAGGACAATGTCACATTCACAACATTCTACATATATGTATATGACTTCCGCCCACCACTGTGGATACAGATTTCATTTTCACAATATCCAAAACTGAATCTGCAGCAGTTCTTCATCACCTTTTCAACGTGAGTGATAAAACTGTATGTCACAATTACCATTTCACATTAACCTTTAACGTCCAAAGTGCCCCATTTGTGCCAGTGATGAGTATAGTCATCGTGGCCAAAGTACCCTGTTTTGGCCAGTTGGGCACTTAAACTCTGCTAGTGGAAGCGCGCACACACGCCACTAGTAGAAGCACATGCACAGTCCTAAATATTTATTTTTATATGTAGTAATTACCAGACAGACTTGAGTAAAACCCTAATAGAGGAATTAAAATGATACCTAAGTGAACAACAGCAAAAAAGGATATACGTATGAGTTATGCCCAAACTCATCCACGAGCCAGTATTTTTATTGCAGATTCTGCAGATTAATGTGTTAAAAGTATATAGTAAAATTCGATGTACCTTCCTTTTTTGTTGTTATCTGCTTGATGTATACAGGGTGTTTCACGACTTTAGGGCATAACTGCAGGAGATGATTTCCTAGGTCTTTGTGATCAAAAAAGTTCATATAAACATGTGTCCGATTTTGGATGGTTTTGGAGTTATGACCGTTTTAAATTCAGAATAGAA